ATGGGAAGATGTATTTGAAGGGATCTTCTTGATTACCGCATCAGGCCGCTGTTGTTGCTGAACAAAGACATGATGATGCTGAACTGTGCCCATCTTCTGCTGGACTGCTGTATGAAAGCCAAACGCTGTTGAGCGATTACGAAGGTCAGTGAAGGCGAACTGTTACCTGGCAACAGATGTCTCCTTTGACTGTTGCTTTTCATGCCTGGCTGAAAACAAAAGGGACTCAAGCGTTATCTGTGGGAGTCTTCTATGGCTGGGAATCAGCAGTGAGTCGGGACCACAAAGATCATAGACAAACCCGGACGGGGGCTTCAGTAGATGACTGGTCTGCTGGTTTCTATGTCCTGCTCTGTCGACCACGAAAGGCTGACCAAAGTTCATCAAAGCGGGACTGTATCCAGATGTTTCTGCACTGCTGGAATGACTGCTTCTCTAGACACGTTCTGATTCAGCAGATACAGAATTGGGGCATGGCAAGTCGCTCAGCGGTGGTCCTGTTGTGTGTTCTCATGTTTGATCCTGGATTCTCACCTCTGATCATGTGACCTGGGCGCCAGAGCCCACTCCTGGGGTTCCCTTCAGTCTGCAGGTTGGAGACGAAATGGGTGCCAACACAACTTGGTAGTGGTGAATAAGTTCTTTTCTTTAAATTTTTGTAGTGTGTGATGCCATTGTTCTCTTCTTATTTTAGATATAGCACTGAGGCGCCCTGTTTTCTTCACGTCCTGCAGCCCTGCAGTGTAATTCTAGGTGTTGAGGACAACCCCATCTCCTGGGGTCAGAGGTTTTACGATGCAGTTAGGGGTTGGTGTGCACCAACTGTTACGACACTGCATTCCTCCATGATTCACTCTGTTTGTCTCACAAAATGCTAGTGTGTTTTTTTCCTTTCCTGCCTGAAAAGAATGGGCAGGGACTAACGATTGCAATTACATTTTTTTTTAACTATAGCTGAATTGCATTGTGTGTTACGCTTCATCTACTAAGGAAGATGATCTAAATTTTTATTTGCATAGTACAGTGGCTACCATTCAGTAAAACTAAATTTAAATTTAAATGGAATTTGAAATTAAGGTGTTAAAGTGGATTGGGTGTCTATAGACTGACTTACTGAGCAAATGACACCAAGTTCTGTGTTGATTTCATAAATTTAATCAAACATTAAATTCTTTGATTGAGGTGTGCAGATTGTAACAGTAACTGGGACACCATGTTTGAATTGCATCCAACTGTGTTACATGAGGCTAAAGTTAGTGGTGATAGCGGATTTCATCTCAATGAGTTGTATAGGATTTTTATTGTATTCTATGACAGAACATTTGTTCTGTTATAGAAACAGGGGGACATGAATGGAATTGATCTGATAGGCAAATTTTTAGTTTGGATCTCTGCATTTACTTTTCGGAAAAAGAGGTTATTGAAGTTAAATCAAAATACATTAAATGTTTTACGGTGTATTACCAGCATTAAAGATGAGCTAACTATTTGGATATGAAATAAGTAAAATGTATAAATTGAATATACTAAACAAAATATTGACTATCAAATAATTTACATAAAATAGTGTTCTTAAACTAAGGAAGGTGATCATTGGATTGTTGTATCTCTATTCATATGTTTTAAAATAAGTTGTTTAACTAAGACATCCAGGAAGGTCTAAACTAAAGATTTACATCATTTAATAAATTTAGCTGTATTGAATCTCTCTCCAAAACTGAAAAGGCATTGATAATTGATAAACAATATAAAAAGGGTAATACATTATTCAATTAAATATTTTATAAATAGGTTTTCAAATGAATAAATGGATCAAAGGTAAAAATGGTTGAAATTTTTGGGATTTAAAATATGATTGGAATAAAGTAGGTCATTTTTGATATTTAGTGACTCATGTAAAGCAGGCTGATCATTCTTTAAGGTTTTAAAAAATAGAAAATATGATGATTGAAATTAAATTGGTCTAAATTGGAGATTTACAAATTAACAGTTATGGAACTGCTTCTAAAATACAGTTAAGTTTTGGGTTTAACATGATAGGAAACTTTCATTTCTCATGTAGGCCTTATATAAAAAGAGGGTCAAAGGATGGTTAAAATACAGCTCCAAAGTAGCAGATTTATAATACAAAAGGAAGACAGTGAAGCTGTCATAAAGTGTAGGATCAATTATTAACCAATCAACAGGGTTCTCTCCATATGAGCTCCAGACAGGACGGATGTTTCCAGGACCTGCTACCCGCATTCCAGGATGGAAAGGTAAGCTTGCACATTTATCTCATAAAGATTTTTTCAATGAGTTACAGGTCCTGGCAGCAGAATTTACAAAATACCAGACGTCACAGGAACGTCCAGGCTCGGGATCAGTTCGGGGAATCGACTGGGTGCGCCTGATGGTCATCAAAAGAAAGTGGTCTGAACCTCGCTTCGCCAGACCATACCGAGTCGTGGAGAGTACATCTCATGCTGTCCGTCTACAAGAGAGAAGGAGACACGTGGTTCCATTGGAGTCAGTGCACATCAGCTGAGGAGCCACGGCGCACGCTGCAGGGCATACAGGAGAATCTACAGTCTCAACCTGCGGTCGAGGAGTGTCTGAGGGCCATCACAGCGCGGAGGAGGATCTGCATTTCCGGGCAGAAGTCTGCCAAAACCACTTCATTTTCCTGAATTACAAGGCTTAAAAGGCCCAGACAGGCACAATAATCCTGTTCCGGTGTCCTTCCATTGAGAAAAGGAGATTGCACCCTCTCCTTAAACTCACTGTTAAATTGGCATAATACTCCAATTTTCAGTGAGCAACGGACACTCAGGTGGAAAACCTGAGGTTTACAACCGAGGAGGAACACGTGAAGGATCCAGCTACAAGATCATCATTAACTTATCTTCTTTTTATTGCGTGTTTTCGTTTTTGCGAACTCTTCAAGAACATTCGTTTCTTTTTGCGCGTATTTTTGGATCGTTTCCTGACGAAGAATTCATATTCATTTTTGAAAGACTATCGAAGGAGCATAGAGACGAACTCTAACTTCTTATTGTTGAATTGTGAAAAAAAAAGAAAAAAAGGTCTTTTGTAATTTTTATGTGTTTATGATGTATTTTTTATGTTGTTATTGTTTTGTATTGACAAATTGTAATTTTTGTGGCGAGTATTGTCTTTTGAGTCTGCTGAGCATTTTTTGGTAATTTCGAGATATCTTGCTTTGGTTTTCTAATTTTATACTTGGGCTAATATTTCTATTGTGTGTTTTCTTCTATTGACATAACTGAGTTTTATGATTTTTCATGTTTGATAAGTGAAATGTATTTTTTAGTTTAGTTTTTACTGGTTAAAATTTTGTGGTTCATCAGGTGAGTATTAAATTGTTGGACAGCGCAAGATACATTTGATAAGTTTAGATTATGGAGTTCAGCTTTAGACACATGGCCTGGCAGGGGACCTAGGAGGTGCTGTTTAAAAAGGGGACTGTTATAAAATTGGGCTAATGTTTTAGTTTTTTAGTATACTAAATAGTTTTTTGGTTCCTCTATTAGAAGGCTTAATCATTTTATTTGTGAGGTCTGTATGTCTCAGACCTCAAAACGGGGACTGTTAAAGAAAAATGATTATTTTTTAGACTTTAATACAGTTAATCTTATGGCATGTGTAAACACTCTCACTTGAACATATTTCTTAATTTTGAACAAGGCTGTGTTAATGATTTAAAACTACTAATGGATAAGTATTTAGACCACCAGCCCATAGAATGAGTATCTCCTGGGGGGTGAATAACAGTTAAGCCTGCAGGAGAGATTTCTGCTTGGTTTACAGAAGGTCAAAAGTCTTTCAGAATAAACAACCAGGGATGGTGAGGCCCCCCGCATTCCACAAGCTGTCTGTGAGAGCTTATCTTGTGTTTTATGACTTTAGGAATGCTAGATGCCAGGACAAGCTTTCCGCCTTTTCTTGTTAAAACAAAGAAGCAAATGACCCCAGATGTTTGCAGTAAATAAGGGGAAGCCCTAGCAGTGTCAGAGATGGCGTTTGATTGGAGGACCGAGGGCCAGCCCCTTTTTGAATGGATTAGATACAAGAGGATAAAGCTTTCTAATTAGAAGAAAAAGATCAGATTTTGCTCTTGCAAACTCTCCAAAGATGTCTTGTACGTCTTTGCTTTCTTTCCTCCTATGTCAGGTAATGGAATGTATGTCTCTGTTGTTCTGCAGTTTCTGGTGTAGGTTTGTGCATTGTCTTATTTCTAAAGTGTATGCATTGTCTTATATTGGATTAAACTCTGTAATTCTGTGACGTCAACACGCAATGTTGGTTTTATTACCAAACGCAGCTCGCCGAGTGGACCTGGGGAAGGGAAGAATCAGAAGCCAATCTTTTTCCAAAGTTAACTATGTTAGAATATTTTCTTCCTTTACAACAGTCTAGAGAGTAAAACTGACATTTATGAGTTAATTTCTAAAAATATATTTTACGTTTCTCTCTTCTTATCAGGGAGGGCGGTGCCCCAGCGCCCCCTATGGGCCGGCCGCCACTGGTCAATCATTTCTGTTCACTTCTTTGTTCCCAATTAATCCACTTTAAGTGTGATTATAAAGGAGTTAGTCAGAACAGCTCCAGTTTTATGAATACAGGTTTACAAAATTATTATTTTATATTTATTTTGATTCCTCAATAACTTCAAGACAACCTATTTATGTTTTGTTTTATATATCTGAGATGTAAAGAACTAAAAAATGCCTAAAAAAATAAATCCTCAAGTTAAAAGATTAAATAAAATAGTTTTTATTTATAAGCAGTTTCCACCTTTGGACAATCATGGGTGAGATAAGATGCCCAAAGGGACAGAAGTCACGAAATCTTCAGCACAAAGTCTGATTTTTATGCCTGACGTTGTTTTTACAGGACATCAGTGAACACTAGAGGTCGCTGTTTCTCGGTGGTTAGACCCCACCCGACGTCCGATGGGGGGGGGGCGTCTGACGTAAAGACAGACTGAGGGGGGTGGGGGGTTCTGCTTATTGCCACATGCTCTGTGACAGGACGCCCCGCGTGGAGACAGCAGCCCGATGACGTAGCAGCGACCGATCAGATCCGGCTGACTGCCCCCCCACCAGCAGAGGGTGGCGCAACCGACGGAGTAACAGGTAAACCACTTCCTCCTCCTCCTCCTTCTCCTCCTCCTCTGCTGGATGCTTCCACTCGGAGCTGCGGGCCGCTGTTTGCAGGTAGGACCGTCTTTCGCCTCCTTCTCTCCTCCTGTCCAGCTCCTCCTGTCCTCCTGCAGCAGATCCTCTGGTTCAGGTGATGCCGCTCTGAGGCTGGTTCTGCTGGGGAATCAGAGATGGAGAGCCGGGTTTATGGGACGAACACGGCTGCCTTTCCTCCAGTAGGTCTGAAACCATCCTTATTAGATGGAGAAGGAGCAGGAGGAGGAGGAGGAGGCCTCATCATGGGCTTTGTTTTCCCGGACCTGAGGGTCCCACACACTGCAGGCTGCAGGCTCATTCATCCACCTGAGACATTAGTTTAAGGGATTTAGGGAGGAAAAATGCAGAGTTCAGACTTTTTCTGCTCACAAATTCGATGTTTTTTGATTAAAAAATATTATTATAGATTATAACCTCATTTCTTCTCGAGTCTTATTTAGATTTAAGGGAAAAAAATCATTAAATAAAGCAGGTAAACATGATGCTGAGCTGGTTAAACGAATACAATATCCCCAAAACCAGTGTTTGCTGAAGACTTTTGATGTTTTTAGCTCAGGTCAATACAATAATATCATTAAAGAAACAATTAGTGCTGTTTTAATGTGGATTTAGTTAAACTGAAGGTCAAACATTATCTTTTTAAATGTCAGCTTATAAATGTCTTATAAGTTGTAAAGAATAAAGGGAAAAATAAATCTAAAAACAATGTTTTTTAGTGGATGGTTTGTATAGCTTTGAGGGAAACATCCTTCCTGTTGGATTTTGGACATTCAGCTGATCTCCTGTAAAGTGTGGGACCCATTATGGAGAACACACCACCAACCTGAGCTCCATCAGCTGGCAGTTAAAAGCTCTCAGTGATAACACTATCAGCCTGACAGGCTGCAGCCTCTTAAATGCCCTTTTATCAAAGCACTCCAAAGCACCATGGTTAATGTTTGGTTTCATTTGTAAAGACATATTTTTGTTAAAATTGGGTTTATGTTATTTTTGTTTCTCATTGTTGTCATTTTTATTATGGAAATGGAGGACAAAATAGCAATAATGCAGAATGGATTGGGTAGCAGACGTAAAGGATAGGGACCTGTAATGCCAAAATAATCTGCATCAGCCTTAAAAAACGTATCAGTTTAACTTAAGTGGTGACAGGACAATGTAGTAATCCCACACATTGAGGAAACATGTCGCAACATTTGAGAGGAAAACCTTTCAAACAGCAATAAATCCCCCGTGGATCACTTGTTTATAGATGCTGCAGATTGGCCTGTTTTCCAGTGTAGTCCTGTTTCTCTGACTGTGACTAACTGGATGTGCTCTTTTCAACCTCTGACATGGGAGCTGGCTCGGAGCTCGTCTGCCTGGCTGTGTGTTTCCTGGACGGGGCCGCCTTTTACAGCTGCTGTTTGTATCTCTGTTTCTGTCTCCTTGAACCCCAGTGGGCCTCAGCAGATGGCCGCTCACACTGAGCCTGGTTCTGCTGGAGGTTTCTTCCTGTTAAAAGGGAGTTTTTCCTCTCCACTGTCGCTACAAGCATTCTTAGTGTGAGGGATTGCTGAAGAGTCAATGAGTCGATGCAATCAGCTGGTTTTCCTTAGATAGAAAAATTTTAATCAGTTTGATTGTATGATGGTTGAACTGTAAAGCGCCTTGAGATGACGTGTGTTGTGAATTGGCGCTATAGAAATAAACTGAATTGAATTGTGAGCAGCCTTCTGCCATGAGGTCGTTGATAAACTGCTAATTTCAAATTTTTACAATTGTGTTTTTTCATTAAATAAGACATAGACTACATTTAGAATTGCACATCAATACATTTGTTCTTGAAAAACAACATGGCAGGTGCAGATTTTATATTCATATTTATGCCACACCTCCGTCTAGTTCATCAAATAAATGTAAAAAATACTCTTGCCTTTTCTCAATCTGTGTTCTTGTGCGTTCTCATGTGCTCGTGAAACGTCATCAGCCTCAGCCCTAGTGCTGTTCAAATTCACAAGAACAAGAAGATGGAGAACGGACAAAGTCCCCGGTTTTTGTTCCCATGCACTGCGGCAGAAGCAGCTTTCAATGGAGCACTCATAGAGCTCAGATTATTAAAAGTTCTAGTTTCTGTTGCCGTTGTTCAATAAAAATGCGTATTAAGATCATTTGAGGCGAGAACATTATACTTTTAAGCATCACTATATAGCCCATTTACTGATTTATTGCATAATAAAAAAAAAAAATTCCAAAGTTGAAAGAATCGCGGCAACCAGGGAGCCTAACCACAGCCAGGGCTAACGTTAGCCCGTCTGCAGTGGCCAGGGCTAAGGTTTACCCGTCTGCAGCGGCCAGGGCTAACGTTAGCCCGTCTGCAGTGGCCAGGGCTAAGGTTTACCCGTCTGCAGTGGCCAGAGCTAACGTTAGCCCGTCTGCAGTGGCCAGGGCTAAGGTTTACCCGTCTGCAGCGGCCAGGGCTAACATTCGCCCGTCTGCAGTGGCCAGAGCTAACGTTAGCCCGTCTGCAGTGGCCAGGGCTAATGTTAGCCCGTCTGAAGCGGCCAGAGCTAACGTTAGCCCGTCTGCAGCGGCCAGGGCTAAGGTTTACCCGTCTGCAGCGGCCAGGGCTAACGTTAGCCCGTCTGCAGCAGCCAGGGCTAACGTTAGCCCGTCTGCAGCGGCCAGAGCTAACGTTAGCCCGTCTGCAGTGGCCAGGGCTAAAATTTACCCGTCTGCAGCGGCCAGGGCTAACGTTAGCCCGTCTGCAGCGGCCAGGGCTAACATTCGCCCGTCTGCAGTGGCCAGAGCTAACGTTAGCCCGTCTGCAGCGGCCAGGGCTAATGTTAGCCCGTCTGAAGCGGCCAGAGCTAACGTTAGCCCGTCTGCAGCGGCCAGGGCTAAGGTTTACCCGTCTGCAGCGGCCAGGGCTAACGTTAGCCCGTCTGCAGCGGCCAGGGCTAACGTTAGCCCGTCTGCAGCGGCCAGGGCTAACATTCGCCCGTCTGCAGTGGCCAGAGCTAACGTTAGCCCGTCTGCAGCGGCCAGGGCTAATGTTAGCCCGTCTGCAGCGGCCAGAGCTAACGTTAGCCCGTCTGCAGCGGCCAGGGCTAAGGTTTACCCGTCTGCAGCGGCCAGGGCTAACGTTAGCCCGTCTGCAGCGGCCAGGGCTAACGTTAGCCCGTCTGCAGCGGCCAGGGCTAAGGTTTACCCGTCTGCAGCGGCCAGGGCTAACGTTAGCCCGTCTGCAGCGGCCAGGGCTAACGTTAGCCTGTCTGCAGCGGCCAGGGCTAACGTTAGCCCGTCTGTAGCGCCCAGGGCTAACGTTAGCCCGTCTGCAGCGGCCAGGGCTAACGTTAGCCTGTCTGAAACAGCCGTGTGTTAAGTACCGCTGGCTCTAAAGGAGATTTTATGGTCTATTTGGCAAAATGTTTATTATATTTGTGTTTATCTGACTGCGTTCATTATTATTCCCCCACCCAAATGAAAACGGAAAGAATGTATTATTATCTAGAGACTATTAATAAGAGGAGATAAAATTCAGCTCCAGACGAGCAGAGCGTGTGGTGATGTCATCAGTACGCTTCTGTTCCAATTGACCCATATTTATTCTGCGTGCTCCCGTTCTCCCAGAGTCCAGACTTTCCTGTGTTCTTTTCAAGAACGTACTTGGCGAGGACATGAGTCCATACTTGCTTTCTAGTAAATTGAGAAACGGCTTCAGTCTCCTCATTAATCCAAATATGCGATGCCTTCTACTTCTAACCTAACTACTACTTCTTTGTCTTTTTACAAGGTACTAAGAATTTTTTGCAAAATGTAATAATTTCAATGCAACTGAGAAAAATAGACCATGGACGCTTAAAACATTTAAGAAAAAAAACAGGAGGTTTTTGTTTTTCAAATTCCCAGTGTTTCCATTTAGCAAATTTACTTTTTTGATTACAATTTGCAGATTTTGATGGTTAAAGGAAACACAGCTACTCATACATTTATCAGTCTCAAGTTATCCTTCACGTATTAGTCATTTTTTTTGTTATTTCAAAGCTTGTTGTTTTAAACATAAACATGCTAATACTTGAGTTAGAATCTCTGTTATGTTCAGAATAAAAGGCCTCAAAGTGATATTAATCCATGAAGTCCACCTGAAGCCAAAACCTTTCAGTTCTGTTCAATTCAGTTTGTTTCTATAGATTCAGTACACAACTTGTTATATCATGACACTTGGCAGAGACAGTTCAGTTAATTTACACAGTCAGGTGGTTAAAGCAGAGGCACTTTACCTTTGGGCAAAACTATGCAGTTGGCTGGGGCTCCAACTTCCTGGGGGCCCCATAAAACTCATTTTACCCATATGGGTAAAATCCTTTGGCTAAAATGCCATCAGAACGCTTATATATTTTAAGTGTGTCTCAGCACCCCCTACACAAAAGTCCATTTGCTGCACATGTTCAGAAAGGTCCAAACAGACAGCAGCAAACCATTTGAAAACAAACCATGCAAAGAGCAGTGTTGCCAACTTAGCGCTTTAGTCGCTATATTTAGCCACTTTTCAGACCCCTCTAGCACTTTGATTTCTAAAAAGCTCCTAGCGCCAAATCTAGAAACTTTTTTCTGCTACTGGAGACTTTGGAGACAACATCTAAAAGCAGCGAACTCTGCTCTCCAGAGCAAGTAGATTGGTAACCCCGCCTCCTGCTCTCCTCTATCTTGTCTGCTGTCATGATTCATGCAGCTATTATTTCATCCAAATGAAAAATGGAGAACAGATAAGCAGATCATGGCTTGTCTACAGTGAAAAGAAGGACTGGGTTATTTACTTTGGCCTTTTTGGAAACACAGGAAGGAGCAATCAGCTAAGTAAGAATTGGCTTAGTGTGTAACAAAAGGTAGAACAAATAATGTATGTCTATTTTAACATTTCTGTATCTCACACTATGCATCCATGCACCAGCAGTAGAAAGGAAAAACTCCCTTTTAACAGGAAGACTACTTCATACAGACCAGATATGAGCTTATTTTAAAAAGGAAGAAAGGGAGCATAGTTAGTCACAGTAAAAACTACGCCTCTATAGCTATAGAGATGCCTCTCTGCAGGATGGTGCTACTATGACGAGACAAATGTAAAGAGAAAAGCAAAGATAGCAAAAGTTAGAGGTTAAACTTAAAAATAATGCAAATTTGGAGAATGGAAATGGAATGTAGCCAAGTGATGAAAAGTGGTCCCTATGTCCTTCAGCAGCCTAAGCCTATAGCAGAATATAGAGATAAATCTACATAATAAAAAAGCAGAAATCTGTCTAGATTTCCAGTTTTCCAGGCTCAGGACCCCCAAACTGATGGCGAGATGGAGCAGGGACCCCTTAATTATATATATTGTATGAAATTGTGTTATATCAAACTGGTCCTATAGTCACTCTATTACCGATGGAGTATTTCTGATTCTAATTCCCGATTGATGGGGCAGGTGTTGTGAATGAAAGAGCTCCTGTGTGTCGCTGAATGTGTGCATTGATGACTGAAAGACATCTTCTGCCTCAATTTTTTTGCTTACTACAGTGTTTTCGATTCATGTAAAGGTGTATTTAAAGACATTTCAAATAGTGGAAAAAATTGCAAGGGGGAATATTAAAAAATGCAGTACCCCTTATGAAGACCTCTGGTCTAGACTAAGAGCGAAAGACACAAAGTAACCATAAAAACGCACAATGTAGAACACAGCAACAATAAAAAGGGAAAAACATGTTTATAGGAAAATAACTGGCTTAATGGTCACAATTAATAAAATGACAGAAAACAAGACCAAGGAGAACAAAAGTGACTGGAGGCCCAAAATGGGAAGTATCTGTCGCTGATGCTTAGAGGTGTGACACACTTAAAGCTAATTTTTTTTCAGTAGGTTGGGGTCCTCAGGGGCCAGAGCTCTGCAGATTTTAGACGGGTTCCAATACAACCGAGTCCAAAGCTTGAATGACCTGGAAATAAAACACTGCTTTTATTTTCCCTCCATCTTTGATAAACAGGTTGAATTCAGCTCATTTACTGCTGCTCTAGTGTTTGGACATGGAGGACAGGACATGTTGGACAGGCAGTGTTTAACGGAAGCTGCGTCTTAGTCTGCTCAGGTTCAGGGTGAGGTGAGGGCGAGCAGAGAGGAGCTCCTTAATGCTCCAATGGGTTGGACCCGCCGTGAAATGAAAGATGCTCTATGCTTGTGGCAGTGTTGGATTGTCCCCCCGGAGGGAGGAGTGTAACCACAGCAGTAACGGTTGAGGAGCGGCTGGGCGTTGGCCTGGCTGGAGGAGCTGATAAACAGGAGGGGAGGAGGGAGGCAGATAGATGAAAGGCTGCTTCAAAGGAAGTCCGGATGTTTTAGTCCATTTTTTTTACCTCCTTGTGCAGAAGCATTTACAGACGAGCCCTCATGTTGCTAAGACCCCCTCAGTCCCCAGAGAAGGCTTTGATATCAGCCACCCCTGAAACACACTATGGTGTCTCAGCATCCTCGTCCCAACAGCTGTCCTCAGGGATAAACTGCACATCTGCAGCTGTACTGATGGTTTGTAACCAGGCTCAGGTGGACGACCCAGTCAGCCATACTCTGTTCTGTTGTTCTTGGTTTAAATTCTTTCCATGAGTCAAGACCTCACCTCAAGTATTCATACAGGTCTTCAGTCATACACTTGTCACCTTTACCGTTCAGGTTCACTTTTGTCGATGTTCCACTTGTTTCATTTCGACTTGATGGTTCTGGTGAGCAGAACCAGCGTTGGGTCGAGACAAAATCCACATAACTTTCTATAAACATCTGACTCACAAAAGAAGAACACTGACAACATGCCTTGCCAAAGGTCAAATCAACATGTGCCACGGAAAACTGAAACCAGAACCACAGTTTTGGTGACTGTGATATATTTTCGAAACTCAGACAGGAATCCGATCGGTGCAGAATTCTGCAAATCGGCCAAAGATTACGATGCCGCAACTGAAGCCAGAAGAGTGAGATGTTGCACTGCAAATAATTTAAATCTACATAAGCCTTTTTTTTTTTCAAATAAGTGCATTTTTTCTTAAATGGAAGTAGTAAGTTAGACACTGCTAATGGAACAAGACAATTTAGATTGAAAATAAGAGATAAACTGCATTGCATTGTCTTATTTCAAGTGCATTTGATCTAGGGCTGGGCGATAATTCAATAACGATATATATCGATCGATAGACGTGTGGCACAATAGAAAAAAAGAGGGTCGATAAAAGTTCGATAAAAAAGAAACGCAGTTTTCCTTCCTTCTCATTGTAGCCTAGCATGTAGTCACTGCTTCCTCCCAACCAATCACAATCGCGGACCCAGGCACGCCGTCACCAAGCGCCGTCCTCTCAAACCACAACACAGAGCACATGAAGATGTCGCAGCAAGGAGAGTCGGAGGAAGTTGTTTCAAAGAAGGGTTTTTGTAGTTCGGCAGTCTGGCAGTATTTCGGTCATGGCAAGTCGGACAAAAAACAAACCACAGTCATCTGTAAAATGTGTCGGGAACCAGTGAAAACCAAGTCTGATAACACAACCAACTTTTTTTTTTTTATCATCTCAGCCGCTCACACCCGCAGGAGTACGAGCTGTGTAGGCCCCGACGCGGCTCTCCTCCGAAGAATCTTCGGGAATTTGGGGAAAATATATATATGTTTTCAGTTCTGGGCAGTTTCCCACGTAGTTCTAACAATTGAGATAAAAATGCTGAGGTGCAAGAAACTTCAAAGTAATAACTCAGGTTAAAGCAGGAAACGGGGGCGGCGCCGGTGGGGGGGCATTTATTTATTTGTTATATTTATTTTGGTCACTTATCTGGTCACTTTAGTTTATTCTTTGTCAGTATTTAATAACATAACTCAGGTCTCTTAAGTTATTTTTCTTTAAAACAATTCTGTTATGGTTAAAAAAGTTGGTTAAATAAAGATTTAATTCGAAGTCTGTGTTTGTGTTTTTTATTAAAATTAAATCATTTAGCAATATTATAAAAAGTCCAGGCAGAGCTGCACATAAAATATGGTTTCAAATCTTTTCAATAATTATCGATATCGATCAATATGCATTGTTTTTTATCGATAAGCTTTTTTTCTATATCGCCCAGCCCTAATTTGATCTAATTATCTCATTAGGAGTAAAAATACTAATTTCATTGGCAGATCATCTTATTTACCTACTCAAAATAATGGTAAATACACTAAATGTAAGAAATCATTCAATATTTATAGATTTTTTTTGCAGTGTAGAACAAAAATCTGTGAAATAAAGGACAAAAATGAATCAATAATTCCAATCCAATCCATTGGAAAAAAAATTTTTTGCAGAGATATTTCAACAGTGCAAAGAAGATTAGTTGCAAAGAAAACATTAGAAAATACCATATATGTACATGTTCATTCACACCTTCATGTCCTGGCTCTGTTATTCTGCATTTTGTGCCTTTTTATAAAAATATTCATACCCATCTACATTTAACATATGATAGACATATCGCAGCCCCAAATGCCAATGGTGTGAACAAAACATTAACCAGCTTCTTAACTAACCCTGTAACTTGCTTTTACCAGTTCTTTGTAAGCTTGTCATAATTTGAAAGAAAATAAATGTTTTCATGTCTTTTTCCCTCTTTAGGGCTGTTTCTATGGTTGCTTTGAATGATTCCTCTTCTGACATCAGTGGCAGCTTTGGTTCTTACTGACACCTTCAGGTCAGAGGTAAGAACTGAACCCAGTTCAGCGGTTGAACTTGGATGCCGTCTTCTGTGGCTGGAGGGTTTATCTCATTTTTCTGCCACCAGATAAACTGACCAACATTTGACCTGTGGAGCAATATCTCACTTTGGCCTGAAAAATGTCTCTGTCAGTGGATTATCTGCTGAATGTGCTACGATTCACAATTTTTGTTAAGGACTTAAATGGAAATAAGGATGGCCAGGACCGGTTTTTAAATCGGTTTGGAAGTTATGTGTTCGACCAATCTTATGGCTAAACCAACCAATCTAATTTGGTTTTACCCAGTCTATATTTGTACAAGGACAAACCAATACAAATTGGTCACAGTAGCCAAAATACTAAAGTATGATACATTAAGTATGATAGCAACTTTCAAAATTTAAGGTGAGTCTCAAACCAACCACCTTAGAGGTCTTACAGCCGATGCTAACGTCAATGGTAGCTGCACTCTGGAAAGCAATACTAGGTAATACCAATGTTACAGCTGTAACTAGTTGCTTGCTGAGATTTTGATCATTGGTTTGATGCAGAGTTCATACCTTTAGTGGTTGAAAGGTGCTTGGAGGCCCTGCAGTCGTCAGATTGTGTGTAGCTTCTCCACGATGTAAACCCTTCCAAAGCCTCTTTCCCACTGAAAATACCCGGTTAACGCATCTTTTTTTCAAACATGGATCGACTCGCTTGCAAACAGCATTTTGGCTCCCCTCCCAGTGGCAAAAAAAACTGTGTCCAACCCCTCGCTGCCATTGCTGCATGTCTGGTGGCACCATCATGCTGGGTTAGCGTTGATGATGTCACCAGTGCAACAGAAATCAGGAAATAAACAATGGAGAGTGACCCTCTTTTATCTGTCTGAATCCCTCTCACCAGAGCTGCTCCATATTTATCAAATGTAAACAGAATTGTTTCTACTTGTTAGATGCCCAATGGTATCATGTAATTAAGCGGGTTGACCTGGCTCCAGTGTTCCCACTGCATGCCAATCAGAGCTGAGGAGATTTTAACCTCTCAATACCCATGGTGGTTTTAAAGCGTTTAAAAATATTAACTCAGAATGCATGAAAATTACACTGTTAAACATTTAGATTCTCCAATTTCAACCATCTAGTTCATTTTATGAACATAGTGAGCACCAAAGCACAATTAACATAGATATGGCAGCATGTCAAAATGTACCATGACAAAGCAGCCACAACAAGCATGTATGTCTTTATAACTGCTGTTCAAAAAACGTATTATTTTCAAGAATAAAAAACAACAACTTTGAGCCTTGTTTGAACTGATGCAGCTTGAGCTGTGTTTACTTTTTATGTATATATTCAGAAACTAGAAGGTGTTAGCTTTCAAATAATGTGTCACACATGTAAATTGGGCGCACAGTTCCTAAGTTATTTGCTTTTTCATTTGGGTATGCAATAGGCGAGAATTTCGAAAAAATGAGGTGGATATTAAGAGGTTAAAGTGGGTCACTTGCTGAGTCGTTTGAGTAGAGAAGCGTCAGTGAGCTGTTCCCACTGCCACTAAAAGCTGGTTGTTTCCGGAATCAAGCGGAATCAAAAGCCGATGTTATATTTATAGTCTTTGTCATGAACACACCATGTCTTAGATGTCATCACATTGCTTTAGCAGGAATGCTTTTCATAAACACTTGTGTTTGCATGTTTATCTATCTAATGTTTCTTCCTGTGTTTTAAGCCTTTGGGTTTTGCTGTTGAAGAAAATTATGGATCTTTTGAGAAAGAAAAAAACCTCTGTGGCATTTTCAGCTGTTCCAGAGAAACATGATTAATACAATTCTTCCTCAAAGTCCGGATCCGGATGAGTAATTCTCTTTCCTGCTAAACTGTCCGGCTCTCGTCACATATTGTATATCAGGGTTTACTTTCCCTGAATCCCTGTCTTTCCCCTGTGCTCCCTCAGCTGGTGCGAACTGAGCAGAAGGCGCTCTTTCTACAGAAATGCAAAAGGTAATCAGTCTTCCTGCATCATATCTCTGCTTTTTTAACGTATTGCATGTGAGTTTGTTTTTCCAGATATCCTGCCTCTCAGGCTGGAATAAATGGAACCGAATTCTGTATGTGAAAGAATCTGCCTCGTCCTACAGGTGGAGGGACGTGTTACTCCTGTTAACGTGCCATCCTCTAGGGGCCCAAGTGTTCCAGGGTCTCCAGCCCCTGGCATCATGGTAAAAATATATATTTTCCTCGTGTCTGTTGGAAAATGTGACATCTTTGTAAGTTTGTTCATGGTGTGCAGGATTCACATCATGGCCATTTGCAACATAACTCAAAGCTTATGTCTGTGTTTTTGCTTCAGACCTCACATAGTCTCTCTCAGAGATGTTGCAGCTTCCAAACCTAATGATCTCATTGCCTCAGGGTTGCTTTGTGCTGTTGAAATTCCTTGATATGTTTTTGTCTTACTAGCAGTGAAGTGCTCTGTGTGCACGTTTTTGCTTAGGCTCGCCTGAATGACCAGGTGGTGGGTTACAAAGACCTGGCGGCCCTACCCCGAGACAAAGCCATACTACAGGTGGAGAGGCCTGATCTGATGACCTACCAGCCCCACCTGACTTTCTCCCCACTCGACCCACCACGCAGAGAGGTACACACACACACACATTGCATGCATATACACACAGGTTACTGAATTACAAATAAACAATGGGCCCCATGTCCCAGCAAAAGATCATTTTTTTCATCCTTTCCTCACAGCAGAAACCTGCTTTAAACTGATTTAAAGCATCAATTTTATATAGGTTTGTTAAATAAGGTCTGGATATCAGAACAATTAACTGGTGATCTCTATTTCTCTGCAGCGTTCTCTTTCCCCTCCTCCTATGTCTCCCTCCATGTCTCCTGAGGTAGGACTTCAAAGTTTAAACTATGCTTCAATTAATGCCTGCCAAAGCTTCAAGTTATCAAGTTTACCTTATATTGTGAATGTCTTCTTTGCACTTTTTTCACACTCTGTTCTCTACCTTGAGTAATAGACAGGGCACACCTTTGACAGGTTGCCAGTCCCCTTCCTTGATTAATTGACATTGTACACATTTTACAGGTGACCAGTTCTCAACAGGTGGAGAAAACTGGCAATAGACAGGGCACACCTTTGACAGCTTGCCCGTGCTCTACCTTGAGTTTATTACTCAAGGTAGAGCACCTATGACAAGTTGACAGTTCTCTACCTTGAGTAATAGACAGGGCACACCTTTGACAGGTTGACAGTTCTCTACCTTGAGTAATAGACAGGGCACACCTTTGACAGCTTGCCAGTTTTCTACCTTGAGTAATAGACAGGGCACACCTATGACAAGTTGACAGTTCTCTACCTTGAGTAATAGACAGGGCACACCTTTGACAGGTTGACAGTTCTCTACCTTGAGTAATAGACAGGGCACACCTTTGACAGCTTGCCAGTTCTCTACCTTGAGTAATAGACAGGGTACACCTTTGACAGCCTGCCAATTCTCTACCTTGAGTAATAGACAGGGCGCGCCTTTGACAGGTTGACAGTTCTCTACCTTGATTCATTGAAAGGGCACACCTTTGACAGGTTGACAGTTCTTTACCTTGAGTAATTGACAGGTCACACCTTTGACAGGTTGACAGTTCCCTACCTTTATTAATTGACCAGAGAGACCTTTGACAGGTTGGCAGTTCTCTACCTTGAGTAATAGACAGGGCACACCTTTGACAGGTTGACAGTTCCCTACCTTCATTAATTGACCAGAGAGACCTTTGACAGGTTGGCAGTTCTCTACCTTGAGTAATAGACAGGGCACACCTTTGACAGGTTGACAGTTCTCTACCTTGATTCATTGAAAGGGCACACCTTTGACAGGTTGACAGTTCTCTACCTTGAGTAATAGACAGGGCACACCTTTGACAGGTAGACAGTTCCCTACCTTCATTAATTGTCAGGAGAGACCTTTAACAGGTTGCCAGTTCATCTTACGACAGAACACTATTTATGGCCACATATCAACATTTCTCACCCATAGCACATGTTTTAGTTATTTTAGGGAAAAAAATTGTAGGTAGGACATACAAAGGCGGCCATTTCTATAGACATCGTTGTTGCCAGCAACCAAGCTCATGCTATAGATAAAAACAGATCAACATATTTTAATACAATCCCACAAAAACACAGAAGAGCTTTAGGGTACTAAATATTATGTTAGAAATTCCTTTGACTTGACGTCTTAGTTAGGATACTTCTGATGCCACTCCTTGCTTTTTATGGGGTCACACCATTGTCTCATGTATCCACCACCAATTCATATCCTATGTGAAACCATGGTTTTTCTTCATTCCTTTTATTACAGTGCTTTCACACTGTGCCAGGGGCTAAGCTCACACTTCAGGTATTAATGCTCAATTCCTTTTTAATAATTTCAATTTTAATTCAATTTTATTGTCATTACACTGTCACAAGTACAGAGCAATGAAATGAACTCTCTGCATTTAACCCATCCCCTTGGGGAGCAGTGGGCTGCCATCGTGAGGCGCCCGGGGAGCAGTGTGGGGTTAAGGGTCTTGCTCAGGGACCCAGAGTGGCAGTCTGTGGGAGTGGGGGATCGAACTCACAACCTCAGGATTCAAAGCCCAATGCCCTAACCACTAGGCCGCCACTCCACACTTTTGCATGGTTGTTCACATTTCCAAATATACATGGCTTGTATGTGATCGTCTGTATAAACTGCATTTATACAACTTAAGTGTCCCGCATGCGCAGTAGAGGACACAATGATGTCATAAGTGAGCATGCTCATATATAAACATGAGGACTTGGGAATAAAACTATAGCAAAAAAGAGCATTTAGCGATCTTTCCCAGCCTCAGCCAGTGCATTAACACAATCTTAAAAAGATGGTTGAAGATAAAGACTGCTCTCCGCATTATCGTCCACCATAGGTATTGTTCTTACGTTTGGCCTAGCAAGAAGCAGAATGCGACATATCTGGCTAAACTAATATGTATCTGAAAGATCAGATACGTATCGGCTTCAGGACCACATAGCAAAGTGCATTGGAAAAAAAAAATTTTCTGTTCAAACTATCACGAAAACATCAGATACAGGTCGCATATGGGCGAAAAATTGGATTTGGGTCACTGCAGGCGGCTGTGTAGCCAGAGTCCGGTTTTTGGACATAATCTAGGACCCTGACATGGACCATGAAACTTTAACCTGGCAGCATTGCAACTGCCTGTTTTGGTAAACGTTATGTAGAATGTTGAGTACATACCTTACAGAGTAAATGCGTGCCCATATCAGTGTACGAAATTTAGGAAAAGAGGATGTGATTTCAGTAGAAGAAGTGAAAAGACAAAGTAAGAGTAAAAATATAAAGACGTAATATATTCATCTTTTAACTAGAGGACTGCACGGGACAAATTTTCCAGTCCCACGCCCGCCCGCTCCCACAGTGTTCAGTCCTGCTCCCGACCCCTCCCGAAAAGAATTATGATTTTCAGTCCCGCTCCCGCCATCCTGCAATTCCCGCATGATTCCGACGTTTGCCTACTGCTCAAGGCAATTTGTGTCATTAGTTTTAGGAATTAAAAACGCTGTGCTTAGCTGAGCACATTACTGGCCGATTCCTCACCGCATAGTGGATGACGCGCGTTAGGTGGCACGAGCTGCAATAATCCAGCACATTGTGATGTGTATATATATGATATACATAGACTGATAATTTATGACTTTATTTTACATTTTATTTTACGTTTTAAAACACGTTTTAGTTCGCGGGACTGCCTCTTATCACCGCACCCGCAATGAGCTTTCAGTATTTGTCCCGCGCCGCACTGCTTTGCGTTGGGTCCCGCGGGAGTGCAGGGATCTACTCTTAACCTCAGTTAAGAGGTGAAGGCGCACAACTTCACTTGATCACCGGCATAGCGAGGGAAACTGCATGAGACAGAGTTTGTTCCTTGCCCACTGACCACCCCATGTTGCACAACCCTCTAGTGTCTGTGCTGATCGATCGGCTGGGCCCGATGCTTTAATACCATCAGGTGTTTAAGTTTAATACCAACATCCTGATGCTTGGGCATTTCCCAAAAGGTCTGACAGTGATTTGTAAGTCAATTAAGATTATGTCTGTCTGTTGACACGGTAAGCCTCTAGGCATATTGGTGTCATTCAAAGTCTAGTACAGTGTCGGCCTTGACGCTGTAACACCAACCATTTCATGATCAGTGGTGTCAGGGCCAGAGGCCAGTAATCAATCCTTCCTGTGATGGCAAACGGGATTAGAAGCGGGGATGATGGTGGCAGTTTTCAGGCAGATGGAAAAGACAAAATCTCTCAGGCACAACGAAGAAGCCCTCTGGGTGTTTCTCCCTCTGGTAGCCTCCTTCATGAGACACAGCAGCTAAAAACACCAGAGCCATTTTCCTTGGGACATACAGGGGTCTGCACTTAAAATGGAAGTTCCTGGTCAGGAGAGCAGCATCTCTCAATAATGGACCAACTGTTGTTGATATAGACCCCCTTTATCTTCCTTTGCCTTAGACTGATGTGAAGTCTGTCTGATAGATTGTATTGCCTCTTGCAGCCTGGTTCAGGATGTTCTTATCCGTCTTTATTACCAGGGAGCAGATGTTAACAAGATAAAATCTTGAAACTGCAGGTTTATGTGGGTTCCCAGTAGGGCTGTGCAGTTAATTGCTTTTACAATATAATCGCGGTTTACCAAAATTCTGTTTCCAAATTGCAGATGCCCTAAATTTTATTCACGTTACATTAAAGGTACAGTGTGTAATAATTTCAGGGATATACAGTCAGAAATGTAATATATTATACATAACTATGTTATTTATCATCATCTACGAGCTCAGCCTCTTAACCTTAATATTTGCGTTGCCTTAGAATTCGTTATTTATAATTACACAGGAGCGGGTCTCGCAGCCGTGGAGGAAGACATCTTTGCGCCAGTGACGTGCGGTGAGGTTCATAGCTGGTGAGGCACTGACGTCATCAGAATCAGATTTGCAAATAGATGCATAGATTGACAGCAGTTTACAGGTTATGTTTCACTTCTGCATCCTTACACATACAAACTGTAGCTCACAAAACACACATTTCCTTAAAAAACAAAACAAAATAAATGTTATTACTGTCTTACCTTTACTTATAAATGAATAGAAGTCCTCCTTATCTTCCTTCAGTTTTAAAAGTCTCTCTGTCTCAATGGAGATCACTGCCAGGGAAGAAAGCCTTCCTTGATCCGTCCTGTTCCTGCCTTATGTTTTCAGTCTCTTGAGCACCCCCTGCCATGAGGCAAGAGAACTGCCTGCCTCACCTCGAACTTGTTCTCTGCCGTTTATAATCGCTCATTACACGAAACACGTTACACAAACACAGTTGGTGACAAAAAGCTCTGTACATTATATACATAAGCCAAATTATTAGAAATAAGTTCACATATTACATTTGTTTAAACTATTTTATTGACGCCGTACAGCAACATGCTCTCTCCGCTTTGCAGCCAGCGCAGAGCCAGGGGTTGCGCAATCCAAGGTGAGGCAGAGCTCGCTGCTGCCTCACCGGCATCGCTTCCAAGCATTTGAATGGGAAAATAAGAAAATTCAGCGATTTTGAACAAATAAAAATCGAAATTGGTGAAGCTACATGAAAAATGAATATTTTTTAGTACAAACCACCGGATGAATATAACAATTTAAATTACTTTATGATTATATATTTTCTTTCTTTCCATGATGGCTGGTGAGGCACTGCCTCACCTGCCTCCCCTGACCGCACGTCACTGCTTTGCGCTAAGGCAGCGCAGAGCCAACAAACTAGCGATTGCGAGATCGCCCATTACGCTTGAAAGTAACTACGGCAAGTTGAGAGAGATGAACTGAGACGGTACTGAAATCTATACCCTACACAGACTAATGAAATACTATCTGTAAACAAACCTCATCACTTGAGAAGGTAGGTGATGCGGACGTCGTGGAAGACATTTTGTCCCGTAACGCTCGCCGTGCTGTTGGGGGGGAGAAGCGGTGGGGGGGAGATGTTCATGTTGCTGCGGTCTGCAGTCTGACCGCTAGATGTCGCTGAAAATTACACACTGTAGCTTTAAGCAAGAGTAAAACAATACATTTTTCCTTTCAGCCCTTTAGGAGGCAGTAATGAGATTTGGTTTGTTGCCACACAGAAGGGAAGTGACAGTAGCAGCTAGCGCATTCATAGGGTGTGTTAAGTTTTAACACCTGTTTATCCCTTTAGCTTTAGTTTTGTACAAAAAAAATGACTTTATACTACCTTAACGGGCATATATCCCTTTAGTCATGTACAAAAAAGCTATTCAATTACTTACTTTTTGGGGTTTTGTTTGTTTTAAGCTGAACTTTCTTTGTATGTTTTCAAGTTTGGCTGTGAACCCCCTTTATACCAAAACGCTGCCAGTAAGCCATTATACAGTAGCTGGAAGTTAGAAACACGTTCAGCGCTCGTCTGGAACACGTCAGATACGTTGATATGTGTTGGAGAGAAGTTCTGGATAAGTTACGCAGAAGTTATCCACAAGTTCCTCAGAGGTTTAGGATATGTTGGACGCCACGACTTATGAGTTACCTACACTTAATGTATGTCAAAGATCTGATACTTTACTTGTAACTTGTGGCCCACGTATATCATACGTAGGGGAATTGTGTACAAGCTCAAAACTTCTGGACGTAATCGCTGTATGTCGACGTGTGCCAGCGCGCTTCAGTGTGCTCATAACTTATTCAAAACCTACACATAACTTATCCAGCGTATGCCGGTATTTTTGCCAGATTTTTGCTGCTTTTTTCTGATCCATTCCTATGTGGCTCCAGCTGTATGGTGAGCTGGAAGACCCAGCCACATCCCAGCTTAAATGCTCTTACTGATGGACGGAGGTTTAGGCTTAACATCTCATGATAAATTATCCCATTTATTCTTCCCTTAACATGGATTAGTCGCCCTGTTCCTTTTGCATAAAATCAGTTCCAAACCATGATGTTTCCACCTCGATCTTTACTTGGAATGCAAAACAACATTCCTGTCCTCCAAACAAAATGAAACAAAATACCGCCTGTTCATTGGAGACAAAATTCTTATTTTACAACATAATTTACTTTTTATTTTTGTTTTTAAAAATGAATATCTGTCCCCAGTTTTTCACTTTGCCACCACTGTCTGCAGCGGGGGTGGGCAGCTGGTTGGGCTGGGCAATTAATTGCATTTGCAATATAATTGCAATTTAATAAAACACAATTTTCAAATCGCAGAGGCCTTGATTTTCACACTATTTTTAATGAGAGTAGGACACTAAATTTCTCCCACCAGCCCTCTAGGTGGTGATTAAAAGCTTCAAGTGAGTTTGTCTCAACACAGAAAGGTTGAGAGATTATTGCTAGCAGCAGATCCGTCGAAGAGGTAGAGGTAAACACTTTTTCACACAGAGGTTACAGTAAAGTCCTGTAACAGTGGAGTCTGGGCAAACAAGCTTTAAAAAACAAAAAGCCTGAGCTGAAACATTTCTGCAAAGGAAAATCAAAATAAAATCTACATTTCTATTAAAAATAATTACATTTTGGCAATATTGTTCCTAGCAGCTGCTGACCTCAAACCTGAACATTTTCAGTCCTCTGCTGATCTGGGGGACTTGTCTGCTGTTTCCTTTCTCTACGTCGTCCAATTTAATCCTGACAGCTGTGACTTTCTGGATATATTTTTGCTCCAAAGTATCAGTATACCTTGTTTTGGTCTGAGAGCCAGCTTTATCCTTACTGATTAGCACCACCCTACTGTTGTGGCGGATTATCGTGTAGAACTCGTCCGGTTGTGAAATTTGTTAAACCTGCTTGTTTTAAAACCAATTTTAGATCAAAGTGGAGATTAAAGTCATGGTGAAAAGGATGGAGAATACTTATCTGTTAGATGAAGTCCTTACTAAATAGGAATCTAGCCAATGTTGCTTTTAGAAAAGCGTTATTTTACTTTAACAATGTTACCATAGAAAAGTTTTATTATTAGTGGTTTGATAAGAAATCAGTTTTCTCTCTTGATCCCTCTGCGATATTTTGTACAATGAATGACCGCTGAAGAACCGAAGGCCTCACCCTCAGATGTTCTCATCAGATTCTTCACCATCAATTGCTCCTTTGTGTTTATTAGAGAGGTCTAAATGTGACATTAACCCTGCTGCGTCTGAGTACAGAGCCAGACTCTGTTTTAAATGTTGCAACAGTTTTCATCAGTGGAAATTCTCCTTGGTTCCATTATTACTGTGGTCAAGGTCTGTAGCAGCACAGTTATTTTGGACCTCGCATCCAGAGAGCTTTCTCAATTCTAAATGTCTGGCGTAGCATTGAGTTCCAGGCTATATAGAGTAGCCCAAACAAAAGCCTTGTTGGGACTTAGAAAACATGCAAATGGAACTGGAAAAGAGGCCCATGCCTTAGTAATGGACTACTTTGGAGTTTGGATTACCAGGTTAAAGTTCTCTCTACACTGAGTGACACGACACATATGAATCTTTGAAAAGAGATCCAACCAACGCCCTACAAAAAGAAAATAATGGACTACCTCAAACACCTAGAAAAAGACAAGGTATTTAAGCTTTCATCTTAGAGAAACCAAACAACCTCTCCATAGACGCATGGCTCAATACAGCTAACTCCACCGGACACGACTCTGCTGTCCACCTACACCTTAAGGACAAAGGACACCTGTTTGAGGACCAGATCGTTCACATTTTGGACAAGAAGACAGGTGGTTTGAAAGGGTGTGAAGGAAGCCATTTATGTTAAGGGAGAAAAACCAACCTTAAACAGAAGGGGGTGGATTCAGGTTTCAGCTGAGGGGGATTTCATCTCAGTCCTTATCGCCATGCAGGGGATCAAAACATCTCGCCTGTTTAGCCAGGCCCACAAAGTTCCTCACCACTACTTTTTTCAGACGCATTGGCCAGTAATGGGTTTTGCAGGCCAACAACAACCTGAACGACTCCTCATTACTAAGGGGTGGACCTACTTTTCTGTTTAATTTGTATGTTTTCGAAGCCATAACAACATTTTGTTTAGGCTGTTCTATAAGCCTGGAACGCAGCGCTACTCCAGACATTTTGAATTGAAAAAGATTCCTGGATGCGAAACATCTTCAAAGTTGGAAAACGAAGTTCAGTGGATTGTTGTTTTTAACTGTTTTGGAATTACTTAACCATTTCATTTTAGAGGATTTTTCACACACAGTTCTTTAACTTATAATTGAATGAATTCTAAGGATTTAACTGTTACCTTTGGAGGATAAAAGCCATCTGTAGTGCAGTAGAAACCTCCAGGCTAGTGGCTGTAACCGTCCCTTCATCGACTGACCTGATTCTTATACCTGTCCAGGTAAAAGCTAGCAGAGCAGAGAGCGACGGCGGGTCACCTGGAGGATCCACACTGCAGCTGCAGGCCGGACGCAAGATTAGCACCAGCTTGCAGCATTTCCATCGACCAGGTCACAGCACAAACACACACAGAACAGATGTAGCCATACTTGGATCCAGTCTGGTTCAGGTTATTTGGTAAAAGATTTCTAACACCTCACTAATCATTGCAACAAAACTAGAGTAAAACTTCTTTAAATCCCCTTATTAAGGAAAATAACCTGATAAAACATGACATCTACTCCAGGGCTTTGTAGTTTACTCCAGCAACCAAGTTGAAAAGCAGTGAATGGTTGAGTTTTTCCAGATGCTTTAGGTTAATTCGAACTCAGATATATTCCATTTATTTCAGTTTATCTATTAAGTGCCAATTTACAGCACATGTCATCTCAAGGCAATTTACAGAGACAATTTAACCAGATCATGCAGTCAGACTAGTTTTAAGTTTTCTATCTAAGGACCGACTCATTAACTCTGCAGAAATCTCTCACAACAAGCATGATTGTAGTGACAGTGGAGAGGAAAACTCCCTTTTAACAGAAATAAAACCTCCAGCAGAACCAGGCTCAGTGTGAGCGGCCATCTGCTGAGGCTGACTGGGGTTCAAGGAGACAGAAGCAGACGTAGAAAAAGTACCTGTTTATGATGAAAAAAAAGCAGAGAGGTCATAATGTTACAAATTTAACAATTTAGCCTCACGGACTAAAACTGGTAGTTGGTTCCACAGGAGAGGAGCCTGATAACTAAAAGATCTGCCTCCCATTCTACTTTTAGAAATTCTAGGAACCACTAGTAAACCTGCAGATTGAGAGCAAAGTGCTCTGTTAGGAACATAAGGAACAATCAGATCTCTGATTTATATATCAGGCTGATCATCGGCAGATTTAAAAGGAACAATAGCAAGACTGTGGAAAAATGTCAAATCAGTTTTTTTGTTTGACAGCTTTTCCAGATATAAAAAAGAAAAGAAAAAACATTTTACGAACTAAGAGTCAACATTTTCATAGTTTTCTAAAACATTTCTACAGAAACCCACAACAATTGACCTTGTTTATTGTCATCATGTTTTATTTTGCAATATTTCATTCAAGTTAACTAATTTTCTTTTTTTTCAGCAATGTTGGAAAAATCCATTTTAAGGATATAGGTCCACTTTGACAGTGGATAGAAAATGAAAATGTAAAGTCACAGTCTGCTGCATACATTTCTATCTGTTGTTCTGGTTAACTTTCCTTGTCCAGACTGGATCCAAACCCAGCCAATGGAAATAGGAGTTCATATAAAGTCTAACGAACAGAATCTGTCCTCGTTGTACTGCTTTGATTCCAGGCAGGTAATGGTAGAAGAGGATGAAAGTGTTTGAGGTCGAGGCCTGTATTGCTGCTGGAAGGCGACTCGAACCAGAATCTTTTTAAAACTAATAAAAATGATAATAAAAAGCATCATACTGTAAAGGTAGTAAATAAACTTAATCTGGAAACCTGAATCTAGATTTCAGATAATTTATTATGAGCTTGTAGTTCCTCTGTCATCCACCAGGGGGTGCCGCAGCAACTTTTAATTTCACCTTTTATCAGTAGAGAGTTCAGTAGATAGACTCTACCTGATTCTGACCCTAGAACATACTCTATCTGATAGAGTATGTTCTAGGGTCAGAATCAGGTGTTTTTCTGATAAAATCTGTCCAATAAGCTGTGATGTCTTTATCTTATCTTTCTTTCCCTTTTCCAGACAATGGCTCCAACATCTACAGGAAGCCTCCCATCTATAAACAGGGTGAGCTCTTGTTTCTCTCCGTCTCCTCTCTAAGAAGCGGTTATTCCTGTTGTTGTCACTCAGCTGCCTCCCATCGCTCCGCAGACCTTCACAAACACTCGGAGGGAAGCGGGGTCATTCAGTCCGCCAAGTTTCCTGCCGCCCAGCCTCCAGACCCCAACCAGCCCTCCAAGATTGAGACAGAATACTGGCCCTGCCCGCCGTCACTGGCTGCCATGGGTAACACACACACACACACACACTCACACACACACACCCACACACACACACACAGTGTGATGGTGAGCAGATTTTACACCAAGGCTGACGTTTTGCAGAGATCGAGTGGAGGAAGAAAAAGCTGCAGGAGGAAGGTGATCTGGAGGAGGAGACAGAAGAAGAGCAGCCGCAGCAGGAGCTGGAGAAGGTTCGCCATCCTCCCTCTTGTTTCTGCTGTAACCCATTCACTACCAACCCCAGTTTTAACCTATTCACCTGGACAAGTGACCAAACATTGAAAAACATTTAGGTTTAAATCTTTGGCATTTTCACTATTATATCATTAAAAATCCACCTGCTTCCCAGAAGACATCTTCAGTTTTGGCTTTTCTGTCAGTGTGAGGTAGAGGAAGCTGCTGCTCTCAAACAGGGGGGCTCAATGGTATTAAATACATCTAAACGTCACATATCTTTTAAAAAAATGCTGAAATAGATCAAACTCGTCACCGCAACAGGTCAAAATAGCTGCTGTGATGCGGTTGGAAATAAAGAAACCACACCAAGAGGTTCGGCAAACTGATTAAATGATCACTTTTCCAACCCGACTCATGAGGAAAACTTCCTCTGAAGTATGGTGTCTAATCAGCATCAAGCAGCCAGCTTCCAGACCTGCTCCATAGACCCTCTGAGAGCTTTAGAATATAACATTTTAGAGCATGTTTAATGCAGTTCAATTACTATATCTAAAAAGTTTGTAAATGCATTTACCGATAATTTTACAAAATGTACTGCCTGGTATTCAATGAGAAATGGGCACTGCTGTGTGGATAAGTAAAAATCCTCCATACATTCAACCTTAAGCCTCAAGATTTCTAATTTGAAAGAGTGACATGTTGCTGGTGAAGATTCTCAGTCATCATGGTCATAGTCATTCCAAAAAAAGTTAGAAAACACTGGACTTTGTTTCCGAGGTTTGAAGACGTTTTGCTTCCCATAAAGGAATCTTTTCAAATCAAATAGTCAGGAATCGCGATGAGATAAATGCTTTATACAGTAGCCCAACAAAGCTTTGTTTTTCTTTAGAAAACAAAAACCTACAATTCAGCAGAGGTGTCAAGTAATGAAGTACAAATACTTTGTTACTGTACTTAAGTACACTTTTTAGGTATCTATTCGTTACTCCATTACTTATTTTCCCTCCTACTTCTGACTTCTACTCATTACATTTTCATACAAGTATCTCTACTTTCTAATCCTTACATTTTTAAAACAAACGTTGCTCATTACTCTTGGCTTAATGCAGAGGTCACAGATTAGAGGACCGTGTCCGGTGTTATGCCGAAAAGTGCATCCCTGCTAAGATATGCATCCCCACTCACAGGAGCGCGCTTCGCTCTGTACAACTGCGACAATCGACGAGGAAAACGGATTAAAATATGACCAATGGAGCTACTTGTTGTTATATTAATGATATAAAAACGTTTAAATATTCCTTTCGTGGGAAAAAAATTGTGGTTATTTGGCAGATTAATTTACAAAAGTGGGGGTGTTATGAACAACATTAAATCCAAAGATTTTGTCCGATGTACGGCAGATTAATTTGTTGTAGTCTCTTGTTATTCACACACAACAATATACAGTTATAGCCGACGTGAGTTTTGAAACTGCAAAGCTTTGTCTAAAGAGAAAAATCAAACGCGCACCAACACAGCACAGCCTTCACAGACCAGTGTGATGCATTCGCGAGCGTCAGATAACTATGGTGCATTCAGGAGTGTCAGATAACTATGGTGCATTCACAAGCGTCAGATAGCTATGGTGCATTCACGAGCGTCAGATAGCTATGGTGCATTCAGAAGCGTCAGATAGCTATGGTGCATTCACGAGCGTCAGATAACTATGGTGCATTTAGGAGCGTCAGATAGCTATGGTGCATTCAGGAGCGTCAGATAGCTATGGTACATTCACGAACGTCAGATAACTATGGTGTATTCAGGAGCGTCAGATAGGTATGGTGCATTCACGGGTGTCAGATAGCTATGGTGCATTCAGGAGCGTCAGATAGCTATGGTGCATTCACGGGTGTCAGATAACTATGGTGCATTCACGAGTGTCAGATAACTATGGTGCATTCAGGAGCGTCAGATAGCTGTGGTGCATTCAGGAGTGTCAGATAACTATGGTGCATTCACGAGTGTCAGATAGCTATGGTGCATTCAGGAGCGTCAGATAACTATGGTGCATTCAGGAGCGTCAGATAGCTATGGTGCATTCAGGAGCGTCAGATAGCTATGGTGCATTCACGAGCATCAGATAACTATGGTGCTTTCAGGAGCGTCAGATAGCTATGGTGCATTCACGAGCGTCAGATAACTATGGTGCATTCAGGAGCGTCAGATAGCTATGGTGCATTCAGGAGCGTCAGATAGCTATGGTGCTTTCAGGAGCGTCAGATAGCTATGGTGCATTCACGAGCGTCAGATAACTATGGTGCATTCAGGAGCATCAGATAGCTATGGTGCATTCACGAGCGTCAGATAGCTATGGTGCATTCAGGAGCGTCAGATAGCTATGGTGCATTCAGGAGCGTCAGATAACTATGGTGCATTCACATGTGTCAGATAGCTATGGTGCATTCAGGAGCGTCAGATAGCTATGGTGCATTCAGGAGCGTCAGATAGCTATGGTGCATTCACGAGCGTCAGATAACTATGGTGCATTCAGGAGCGTCAGATAGCTATGGTGCATTCAGGAGCGTCAGATAGCTATGGTGCATTCACAAGCATCAGATAACTATGGTGCATTCACAAGCGTCAGATAACTATGGTGCATTCAGGAGCGTCAGATAGCTATGGTGCATTCAGGAGCGTCAGATAGCTATGGTGCATTCACAAGCATCAGATAACTGGTGCATTCAGGAGCGTCAGATAGCTATGGTGCATTCACGAGCATCAGATAACTATGGTGCATTCAGGAGTGTCAGATAGCTATGGTGCATTCACGAGCGTCAGATAACTATGGTGCATTCAGGAGCGTCAGATAGCTATGGTGCATTCAGGAGCGTCAGATAACTATGGTGCATTCAGGAGCGTCAGATAGCTATGGTGCATTCAGGAGCGTCAGATAGCTATGGTGCATTCACGAGCATCAGATAACTATGGTGTATTCAGGGGCGTCAGATAGCTATGGTGCATTCACGAGCGTCAGATAGCTATGGTGCATTCAGGAGCGTCAGATAGCTATGGTGCATTCAGGAGCGTCAGATAGCTATGGTGCATTCAGGAGCGTCAGACAGCTATGGTGCATTCAGGAGCGTCAGATAGCTATGGTGCATTCAGGAGCGTCAGATAGCTATGGTGCATTCAGGAGCGTCAGATAGCTATGGTGCATTCACGAGCGTCAGATAGCTATGGTGCATTCAGGAGCGTCAGATAGCTATGGTGCATTCAGGAGCGTCAGATAACTATGGTGCATTCACGAGCGTCAGATAGCTATGGTGCATTCACGAGCGTCAGATAGCTATGGTGCATTCAGGAGCGTCAGATAGCTATGGTGCATTCAGGAGCGTCAGATAGCTATGGTGCATTCACGAGCGTCAGATAGCTATGGTGCATTCACGAGCGTCAGATAGCTATGGTGCATTCAGTAGCGTCAGATAGCTATGGTGCATTCACGAGCGTCAGATAGCTATGGTGCATTCAGGAGCGTCAGATAGCTATGGTGCATTCACGAGCGTCAGATAGCTATGGTGCATTCAGGAGCGTCAGATAGCTATGGTGCATTCAGGAGCGTCAGATAGCTATGGTGCATTCACGAGCTTCAGATAGCTATGGTGCATTCAGGAGCGTCAGATAGCTATGGTGCATTCAGGAGCGTCAGATAGCTATGGTGCATTCAGGAGCGTCAGATAACTATGGTGCATTCACGAGCGTCAGATAGCTATGGTGCATTCACGAGCGTCAGATAACTATGGTGCATTCAGGAGCGTCAGATAGCTATGGTGCATTCACGAGCGTCAGATAACTATGGTGCATTCAGGAGCGTCAGATAGCTATGGTGCATTCAGGAGCGTCAGATAGCTATGGTGCATTCACGAGCATCAGATAACTATGGTGCATTCAGGAGCGTCAGATAGCTATGGTGCATTCACGAGCGTCAGATAGCTATGGTACATTCAGGAGCGTCAGATAGCTATGGTGCATTCAGGAGCGTCAGATAGCTATGGTGCATTCACAAGCATCAGATAACTGGTGCATTCAGGAGCGTCAGATAGCTATGGTGCATTCACGAGCATCAGATAACTATGGTGCATTCAGGAGTGTCAGATAGCTATGGTGCATTCACGAGCGTCAGATAACTATGGTGCATTCAGGAGCGTCAGATAGCTATGGTGCATTCAGGAGCGTCAGATAACTATGGTGCATTCAGGAGCGTCAGATAGCTATGGTGCATTCAGGAGCGTCAGATAGCTATGGTGCATTCACGAGCATCAGATAACTATGGTGTATTCAGGGGCGTCAGATAGCTATGGTGCATTCACGAGCGTCAGATAGCTATGGTGCATTCAGGAGCGTCAGATAGCTATGGTGCATTCAGGAGCGTCAGATAGCTATGGTGCATTCAGGAGCGTCAGACAGCTATGGTGCATTCAGGAGCGTCAGATAGCTATGGTGCATTCAGGAGCGTCAGATAGCTATGGTGCATTCAGGAGCGTCAGATAGCTATGGTGCATTCACGAGCGTCAGATAGCTATGGTGCATTCAGGAGCGTCAGATAGCTATGGTGCATTCAGGAGCGTCAGATAACTATGGTGCATTCACGAGCGTCAGATAGCTATGGTGCATTCACGAGCGTCAGATAGCTATGGTGCATTCAGGAGCGTCAGATAGCTATGGTGCATTCAGGAGCGTCAGATAGCTATGGTGCATTCACGAGCGTCAGATAGCTATGGTGCATTCACGAGCGTCAGATAGCTATGGTGCATTCAGTAGCGTCAGATAGCTATGGTGCATTCACGAGCGTCAGATAGCTATGGTGCATTCAGGAGCGTCAGATAGCTATGGTGCATTCACGAGCGTCAGATAGCTATGGTGCATTCAGGAGCGTCAGATAGCTATGGTGCATTCAGGAGCGTCAGATAGCTATGGTGCATTCACGAGCTTCAGATAGCTATGGTACATTCAGGAGCGTCAGATAACTATGGTGCATTCAGGAGCGTCAGATAGCTATGGTGCATTCAGGAGCGTCAGATAGCTATGGTGCATTCAGGAGCGTCAGATAACTATGGTGCATTCACGAGCGTCAGATAGCTATGGTGCATTCACGAGCGTCAGATAACTATGGTGCATTCAGGAGCGTCAGATAGCTATGGTGCATTCACGAGCGTCAGATAACTATGGTGCATTCAGGAGCGTCAGATAGCTATGGTGCATTCAGGAGCGTCAGATAGCTATGGTGCATTCAGGAGCGTCAGATAACTATGGTGCATTCACGAGCGTCAGATAGCTATGGTGCATTCACGAGCGTCAGATAACTATGGTGCATTCAGGAGCGTCAGATAGCTATGGTGCATTCACGAGCGTCAGATAACTATGGTGCATTCAGGAGCGTCAGATAGCTATGGTGCATTCAGGAGCGTCAGATAGCTATGGTGCATTCACGAGCATCAGATAACTATGGTGCATTCAGGAGCGTCAGATAGCTATGGTGCATTCACGAGCGTCAGATAGCTATGGTACATTCAGGAGCGTCAGATAGCTATGGTGCATTCAGGAGCGTCAGATAGCTATGGTGCATTCACGAGCGTCAGATAGCTATGGTGCATTCAGGAGCGTCAGATAGCTATGGTGCATTCACGAGCGTCAGATAGGTATGGTGCATTCACGAGCGTCAGATAGCTATAGAGCATTCAGGAGCGTCAGATAGCTATGGTGCATTCACGAGCGTCAGATAGCTATGGTGCATTCAGGAGCGTCAGATAGCTATGGTGCATTCAGGAGCGTCAGATAGCTATGGTGCATTCAGGAGCATGGGGCCTTTCAGACTTACAAGGAAAGAGGCATAACAGATTTATTCAGAAACAGTGTGGGCTTTCTTATAATAGTGAATTCTCTATAATTACATTTCTCTTATTTTTTGATTATTCACATCTGCTAGCTTTTTATTCTACAAATCTATAATATTACAGCAGCAAATTATCAAAGTTTTTCAAAAGCCTGTTTGAAAGCTCCAAATGAGGCTTCAGATCATAAAGCGACAATTACTCTGTCATTGTTTTACAGGCAGAATTAGCATTTACTGACCCTTGACCTTTAACTACTGATGGATATACAGGAATACAGTGTTAACTCCTCTGAGATAGCATGGGATGCAATTTTTGGCAGTTTCTTTTTTTTTTTTATTCAATGTATAACATAAATGCATAAATACCTCATTTTATTTCAGTGGTAAATTCTGTTTAAAGTAACAGATCATTAAAAATGTCTCTGGACCTTTAGTGGTTGATGATTTTCTTTATTTAGACCCACTGATTTTTTTAATTGGTTACCCCTGGTTTAATGTTTCTAAATATTTATTTCCCGTCATGTGCTCCATCCAATGCAGATCATTGGCTCCACCCACATCTAGTGAAAACTAGTGTAATTGGATGAGTCATATAACGCAAACACTCTTTGGTTAGCTAAAGGAAATCATCAGAAGCAAGCAGGTGTTCTTCAAACTGCTAACGTGAATTATCTATGCCATGCTACAATGTGGGATTCAGAAAAAGATGGAAATGTCTGAAAGGTCGGACACAGGCGAGAGTGTATCGGGAGACAGAGACCAACAAGACCTCCCTCATCCTTGACCCTATCTCAGAGAATTTATAGAAATAGTTGAATATTTGAGCTTTCAATTGATATAGTGGCCTCTGCCTGTTTTTTTAAAGGTTACTTTATACTTTTATACTTTAGGTATTTTCTGGAGCACATACTTTTTCACTTTTACATGAGTAAAGAGGTCCAGTTGATACTTCAACTTTTACCAGAGTGTTTTTAAACTGCAGTATCTATACTTTTACTTAAAGGAATAGTACACCCAAAACATGATTAGCCTTCATTTTCTACTCACCTCCATGCTGAACAACACTCTGGAGTACTTTTTTGATATCTCAAATGCATCTGGAGATCTGGGAGACTTCTTGCTGTCTGCTGACATTCAAATAATGGAGGTCCATGGCGCCCGAGACAGAAAGGTCCATAAAAGTCCACAAAAACGTGTCAATATTCCTCCATACTGCTCGTCCAATGTAATCCAAGTGTCCTGAGTGGGTAGCATCCAGAATTTACTCGAAACGAAGTAATTTAGAATGTTTTTAGAGCATAAACAGTAGTGTATAGGATTTCCTAATAGCGCCCCCATGCGCGCTCACGATTCTACGGAAGCCGGCAGACCAAACCGGAAGGAAGTGCGCATTCAGCGTCTGGTCTGCCGATAATGCAAGCGTAGAAGAAGAAATGTGCTGTTTACCTGTGCAAAGAAAGAAACAACGAAAGAAAAATGTCTGAGGACTTCAGTGTTGAGGAAGAGCATGAGTTCTTTGCCGAGCTGAATGCGCTGGTTTGGTCTGCCGGCTTCCGTAGAATCGTGAGCGCGCATGGGGGCGCTATTAGGAAATCCTATACACTACTGTTTAGGCTCTAAAACGTTCTAAATGACTTCGTTTCGAGTAAATTCTGGATGCTACCCACTCAGGACACTTGGATTACATTGGACGAGCAGTATGGAGGAATATTGACAAGTTTTTGTGGACTTTTGTGGACCTTTCTGTCTCGGGCGCCATAGACCTCCATTATTTGAATGTCAGCAGACAGCAAGAAGTCTCCCAGATCTCCAGATGCATTTGAGATATCAAAAAAGTACTCCAGAGTGTTGTTCAGCATGGAGGTGAGTAGAAAATGAAGGCTAATCATGTTTTGGGTGTACTATTCCTTTAAGTAACTGGGGCGTGTAACAAAAGTATTTTCCCTCTGGGATTATTAAAGTATTTCTGATTCTGATTCTGATAAGTAACTAATGTGTGAAATTTTGACACCACTGCAATTCAGCGATTGAGTTGATCCCTTCCGGCTGTAATTACAACCCCCACTTCTTTACAGGGAAACAGAAGACCTCACCTATTCAGGTCAAAAATTCCCTTTAGCGACCCCCCTTTCAGAGACATAGACAGGTATGGGGCATTGCAGGCTAACAGAAGAAGCCAAATGACCCCCATTCCGAAGGGATGGACCCATTCTTCCATTACAATTTCCATGTTTTCTAAACAAAAACAAGGCTTTGTTGGGCTGCTGTGTAAAACCTAGAAATGAACGCTATTTTTGACATTTTGAATTGAAAAAGCTTCGTGGATGGAAGAGAAACATCTTCAAACTTGGAAACAAAATCCGGTGGATTGTTTTTTAACTTTGCTTTGGAAAAAAAAAAAGGCTGACGTTTAAGTTGTTTCTTTGGGTCCAAAAGTTCAACCGTGAAAAGAAATGGTATAAATGCACCATTAAGAAGCTAAACATCCACATTCCTACCTGTTTTGGTCTTACAGATCAAGTCCAATCTGGGCCGTTTGATCCTGAAGGAGGAGAAGGAGAAAGGCGTTCCCATCAAGAGGAAGACCCAATCGCTGCCCGACAGAACCCACATGCACACCAGTGAGTCCAGTCTCATCACAGGACTCTGTTTCAGCTGAAAGTCTTCTTAGAAACCACTCTGCTTCCTTTTCCCCCAGCAGGCTTATCAGCTGCTGCATCCAAGTCCCCCTCACGCTCCGCCCTGACCAGAGTAAGTGTCACCGTCTGTCTTCAGGACAATAGATCTCTGCCAACATGGCTGCTGCTTTTCTCCTGAATCTGGCCTGTTTGGTTCTTCTTAGATGCAGTCAGCAGAGTTCTCCACAGATGGAGATAAAGAAAAGCCAGGTGAGAATCATCCATCCCTCCGTCCGTCCATCCATCCATCCATCAATCCATGGAGACATCTGATCTCCCATTGGTCCTCAGTGAACTCAGGGGGATTGAGTGTAGCCCAGACAAATGAAAAATTAGAGGGAACATTGATCGAGAGAAGTACTACCTAACCTATTTTACTCAGGTAAAATAAAAAAAGCAGAGTGTTGTAAGAACACTGCTAAACATACATTTTGTTCAATGTTACACAATTAAATGTAACTATGTATTAACCGCCTCATTTTTTTTGCTCCATTTATCTCACTAGCTCATCCATCCCTATGAAATAGGAGATGAGAAAACTTTGAATCAATTTGACTGTATGATGGTGGAACTGTAAAGTGCCTTGAGATGACGTGTTGTGAATTGGCGCTATTGAAATAAACTGAACTGAATTGAATTGAGATGTGCCTCACAGACAAAAATGGTCCAAAGGCTGATCTTAATTCATTGTTCATTCCAATAGCAAATCTCTCATAGTGAAATATTGTAGTGTAAGTATTAAAAAATATTTTTTTAGAAAGGGGCGGAGCTTTCCACCAACCAACACCTGGTGTGGAGCTGGATACGCTGGAAGAGGAGGAGGCCACACAGACTTGGCAGGGCAGAGGGAGAAGTAAGGGTCTGATCTAGTTGACATCTCAGTCAGGGATGCGTTTGAACTCTCACCTCCAGCAGAGCTTCTCCCAGACTCTGGGGGAGGCTGGAGAGATTGAGTCTGAGTGGGCCATGCATTGTTGATGCAGCCGCCTTTAGCTGTCCCCGTAAAGTCTTTGGTGCCTGTTGTGGTGGCAATCTGTGAACTCAGTGGTGCAGTAAGGGATGCTGTCAAGCTGAAGAAGGAGTCTTTTTGAGCCTGGTTGGCTCTGGGACTCCTGAGGCAGCAGGTGGGTAATGTGAGGCCAAGCGTGCCGCTGCATAGGCAGTTGCTGGGACAAAAACTCAGGCCTGGCAGGAGTTTGGAGTGGCCATGGAGAAAGACTATTGGCTGGCCTCGAAGTAATTCTGGCTAACTGTCCGGCATATCCGGACTGGAAGCAAAGCTGTTCTAAGATTTTTTCAGTGGGAGCGAAGAGTTGCTGACCTTGAAAGAGGACATCATAGTGGAAGGAACTTTGTGGATCTCCTCAATCCGGCTGACATGCCTTCCATCGTGGAAAAAGAGACGGGTGGTCGGGATGGATTAATCTCACAGACCCCGGGTGGGTGGAAGAGATCTACCCTGAGTACCTTAGAACTCTGGATGTTTTTTGGGCTGTCCTCTGTAATGTCAGTCGGGGGGGGGGGGGGGGGCGGCAAGAGTCCACCAGATTGTTGAACCTTGGCTTCAGGAGGGGCCGGTGTGGTTTTTGTCCTGGCTGTCCAACAGGGGACCAGCTCTAAACCCTTTGCAGGGTTCTCCAGGGTGCTTGGGAGTTTACCCAACCGGCCTTCGTGTGTTTTGCCGGCCTGGAGAAGACCTTTACCGTTGTCCCTAGTGGTGACCTGTGGGTGGTGATGCAGGAGGTTGGGTGCCCTTTTCTAGGGGCTATCCTGTCTTTATACAAGTGGATCATAAGTTGGGTCCACATTCCCAGGCATTAAGTTGGACTTGTTCCCGGTGCACAGTGGACTCTGGCAGGACTTCTGTCACTGGCTCCTGTTCATAACCTTCATGGATAGGACTTCTAGGCACAGCAAATGGCTGGATTCGGTCTGGTTTGGGGACCAGTGGATCTTGGATCTTGAGATTGATAGACGGATCGGTGTGGCTACTGCTATTCTGCAAACTTTGTCATGGTGAAGAGAGAGTAAAAGGGCAAAACTCTTTCTATGTTCCTACCCTCACCTATGGTCAGGAAATCTGAATCATGACCAAAAAACAAGATACAAGCTGCTGAAATGAGCTTCCTCTACAGGATGGCTGGCTCCCCCTTAAGGCTAGGGTGAGGAGCTTGATTATTTGAGAGCAGCTTCTTCTCCACATCCAGACGAGTCAGCTGAGGTGGCCTGGCAGGCATGCTGGACTGGGGGGAGACCAGTGGACGACCTTGTGGAGGGACTATGTCTCTCGGCTGGCCTGGGAGCGCCTCGGACTTCCTTCAGCAGAGCTGAAGAAGGTTTCTGGGTAGGGGTATGTCTGTGAGTCTCTGCTGAGATTTCTGCCACCACAACCTGGTCCATGATAAAGGCGAAGGCGACGAGTACAAGAATCTTAGGTCATCTGGTTATACTATATCAAACCAATGTCTGTAGAAAGTTTAAAATTGTATTAAAATGATGAAAGAAGTACAATCTATCTTTTTTTTAGCCTGAGTCTGTGGAGAAATCAGAGTTATTTTGCTTAAAACGACTACATAGGGGGTGTGTCCCATTATGAATGCAACCTGAGCTGCTTATCCATAAGCCCCATTTACACTGCCCTTTTGAAACCGTGCAGAGATCGGTTCCAGACTGGTAACTGCTAAGTGTAAATGGCACGCAAAACTGAACTGGACTGTGCTGGACACAACTGAACCGCTTAACTGGTACTAGTTCAACAGTAGGGGTCAGTCAGTTCAGTTCTGGCCGCGTCATCTGCTTTCAGCCCGCGTCATCTCCTTACAGTCTCCAATTACCTCCATAATCATGAAATTTCATAGATTCATAAAAATACAATTTCCAGTGATGATTCTGCTTAGCAGTGTGATAAAACTGTTGTTATTTCCTGCATCTGTAAGCCCTCATTATCATTTGTTTTATCCACTTCCAAAAAGCACTCTGTCAAGTCAATTCACCAAAGGCTGCCTTGTTCACCTGACTCACTGCAAACAACTAAATATCACAATTATACCCAAACTGCCTGAATGTTACAGGCCCCACCATGTTTATTAGAGAGCAGTAGTACCGTAGATCGTCACTAGAAGGCAATGAATGGTGCTAGCGTGGTGTGTAAACGGCCGTTAACTGATCAAAGCTCGATCCGAACTCAGCACAGATCGGTTTTCAGAGGGTAGTATAAATAGGGTTATAGTAACCTCTGGGCCTCAAATGGCCTCTAGCATTGGTTTAATTTAGCCCTATCTGAGCAAAAAGGGTCTAAATGCATGTTCCTCTTTTCAGATTGTCCAACCTCAGCTATGGACCCCTTTGGGTCAGTGTCTCAATGAAGGACACAGGGTTTACTAGGTTGGTAGTGGCTGAGTGGAAACATATAGGGGGTGGAAATACCTCTGCAAGGCCAAATGTAGGCAGGAAGGTGGTGTAAGGTTTCTGATTCTGATGCACCTCATTGGGAGAACATTTTCATCTGTGTGATGATGACGTCTCTCTCTGTTCTCAACTTTTCTGTCCCTTTCTTCTCTCCTTCTCTCCTTGCAGCTGCTCAGGTGAGTGTCTGTTTGTGTGTTTGCATGGCTTTCCCAACCCCCTGCGGCTAACCTGTTACTGCCATCTTCCCCTGCAAGGCCCCTTAATCCACTACTGAACAGTTTTACATCCATATGAAGCTCTCGAATAGATAAGCTCAAAGAAATATTTCTAGTTTTATCTTTAGAATTATCATCTACTTTGTGATAAAATAAAAATGTGTTTCTTGCTTAAACTCAACTTTTATTAATCAAGTTCTCTACGGCTGAGAGGCGGGGTACTACCTGGACAGGTCTCCAGTCCATCGCAGGGCAACACAGAGACACACAGAACAAACAACCATTCACACTCACACCTAAGGAGAATTTAGAGAAGCCAATTAAAAGCCATGTTTCTGGACTGTGGTGGAAGCCGGAGTACCCGGAGAGAACCCACGCATGCTCAGGGAGAACATGCAAACTCCATGCGGGCCGGCAAATCAAACTCGCAACCCTTCATATATGTGTGTGTGTCTATTTTCAAGCCATGCCAGGGGGTGTTGGGGCATGGGATCAGAGATCGCATGACTAACTGAAAGCTACATTTGACTTTTGAAAATCCAATACCAAAAACGACCAGAAGATGGCAAAAGTGCATCTATATCTAGTGTGAAGGAGAGGTCGTGTTCGGTGAGGAAAGCACAAACTATTATTTTTAACTCGCATACACGGTCAGTTATTGATGCTGGTACATCAGCTGTTGCCGAAGCTCCCGTCAAACGTGTAGTGTGCCGCATGAACAGCATCCCGATGACCAGTGTCTAACTCATGTTTGCGTAGCACCTTTTTGCCATTGGATGCGTAATTAAGCTTCCTGGAGCATAGCGTGGCATGGTTCATGAACTGCATTGTGCCCACTACATGTAATTCAGTTTTCTCGATCGTCCTTCTCTCCAAACACAAAGATCATTTATTTATTTTTTGATTTTTAACTCGTCTCTCGGTTGAATGGAGCCGTACACTAGAGGAGGTGGTACACGCTTTCCTGAAACCCACCCCTTCAGAGCACTCCTTGGCTACCATTGGCTGACAAACGCAAGGGGAATTTCGATTGTCTTTTTAAAATTTACTTACCGTCAATTTATTTTTAAGTGATTTTTTTTTAACCCACGGGCAATTGCTACGAGCCGGAATACTTTAATCCCTGTGTAGTTTTCCCTTTCCTTCAGCATTTTCTGGAGTTTCCTCAGTGGTGGTGAAGAGAAAAATGTAACTTACAAGTTACAGATATTTTTCAAAAATTAAAATCGAGGGCGACCCGGATGTATATCTGGTTGCGCAAATGTGCTAATGGTACGGATCAAGCTACTGCTGTAGGTGCCAGATCTGCTCAGGTCCTGCTTCCTGCCAGTGATGTTACGCCACATGAATGGCTGAACGTTGACGTAAAATATTGTGGTTGCCCAGACAATGAAAATAACATCATGCATCTTACGTGTGCCGAGTCGGGAGCATCTGTAGCGTTAGCGTCTCAAATGACCGAAGAAGTTTTACCTGATTGATAACAAAACTGGAAAAAAAATTTGTTTATGGTAAACAGAGTAACAGTTAGATCATGATATAAAGGGGGAGAGCTGGGTAGCGCTGTGGCTAGCTGTACTCAGTAGCTAACAGGTTAGTCTTTTTTAGCTCAGTCAGTTAGCCATATTAAGCTACACTACTTTTAATTCAATTCAATTCAATTCAGTTTATTTATATAGCGCCAAATTCACAACACATGTCATCTCAAGGCACTTTACAGTTCAACCAGATCATACAGTCAAATTGATACAAAGTTTTCTATCTAAGGAAAACCAGTTGATTGCATTGACTCATTGACTCAAATACAATCCCCCACACTAAGCATGCTTGTAGCGACAGTGGAGAGGAAAAACTCCCTTTTAACAGGAAGAAACCTCCAGCAGAACCAGGCTCAGTGTGAGCGGCCATCTGCCGAGGCCGACTGGGGTTCAAGGAGACAGAAGCAGAGATACAAAAAGCAGCTGTAAAAGGCGGCCCCGTTCAGGAAACACACAGCCAGGCAGACGAGCTCCAAGGCAGCTCCCATGCCAGAGGACGAAGAGAGCACATCCACTCAGTCACGGTCAGAGAAACAGGACCACACTGGAAAACAGGCCGATCTCCAACATCTATTAACAAGGGTGTTGATAGAAGCAGCACAGCTGATGTTTTTTCCAGGATGACGTCACAGCCAAACAGGAACAGACGAGGCAAAGCTACTCTGAGGAAAAGCAGAGAGAGCAGAAGGTTAGAGATTGAACTAACAGATTCTGCAGAATAGGAGAACAGAGAGAGAATGAAGCAGAATGATGAAATGGGGGGTCCCTATGTCCTCCAAAAGTCTAAGCCTATAGCAGCATAACTATAGAGATAGCTCAGGATAACCTGAGCCACCCTAACTATAAGCTTTATCAAAAATGAAAGTTTTAAGCCTAGCCTTAAAAGTAGACAGGGTGTCTGCCTCACGGACTAAAACTGGTAGTTGGTTCCACAGGAGAGGAGCCTGATAACTAAAAGATCTGCCTCCCATTCTACTTTTAGAAATTCTAGGAACCACTAGTAAACCTGCAGATTGAGAGCGAAGTGCTCTGTTAGGAACATAAGGAACAATCAGATCTCTGATATAAGATGGAGCTTGGCCATTTAAGGCTTTATATGTGAGAAGGAGGATTTTAAATTCTATTCTTGATTTAACAGGAAGCCAATGAAGAGAAGCCAGGATAGGAGAGATATGATCTCTCTTTTTCATTTTCATTAGAACTCTGGCTGCAGCATTTTGGATCAGCTGAAGGCTTTTAACTACAGTTTGTGGACTTCCTGATAGTAAAGAATTACAATAGTCCAGCCTTGAAGTAACAAATGCATGGACTAGTTTCTCAGCATCACCCCTGGACAGGATATTTCTAATTTTTGCAATGTTCCTCAGATGAAAGAAGGAAATTCTAGAAACCTCTTTGATATGGGATTTAAATGACAGGTCCTGATCAAAAATAACACCAAGATTTTTTACTTTATTATCTGAAATCAGTTTAATCCCATCCAAATGAAGTGACTGGCTAATCAGTTTCTTTTTCAGAGACTCTGGTCCAAAGACTATAACTTCTGTTTTGTCTGCATTCAGAAGCAGAAAATTAAGAGTCATCCAGGTTTTTATGTCTTCAAGACATGCCTGTAATCTATGTAATGGGTTAGCTTCATCTGGATTTATAGACAGATATAGCTGGGTATCATCAGCATAACAGTGGAAATTAATCCCATGCTGTCTAATAATTCTACCAATTGGGAGCATGTATAAAGTAAAGAGAATTGGTCCTAGCACTGATCCCTGTGGTACTCCACAGGTAACCTTTGAGCGTGTTGAAGATCTATCATTAACATGAACAAACTGAATTCGATCAGATAGATAAGATTTAAACCAGTCTAGTGCTGTTCCTTTAATTCCAACAAAATATTCAAGTCTTTCTAAAAGAATATTATGGTCAACTGTATCAAATGCAGCACTAAGATCCAACAGGACGAGCACAGATACAAGTCCATTATCTGAGGCCATGAGAATATCATTAGTGACTTTCACCAGAGCTGTTTCAGTGCTATGATGAGCTCTAAAGCCAGACTGAAACTCTTCAAAAAGTTCATTATGGTGGAAGTGATCGCAAACTTGTTTGGCAACTACTTTCTCAAGAATTTTGGATAAGAAAGGAAGATTGGATATAGGTCTATAATTGACCAAGTCATCTGGGTCAAGAGACGGTTTCTTAAGCAGAGGTTTAATTACAGCAATCTTAAAAGCTTTAGGTACATATCCCTGTAACAGAGATAGATTAATCACATCTAAAATGGAGGAGGAGATCAAAGGGAATACCTCCTTAAATAACCTGGTTGGAACTGGATCTAACATACAAGTTGAAGGCTTAGATGAAGACAATAATTTTGCTTATTCAGAGAGTTCAACTGGATCAAAGCAGTCTAAACCCGGTTCAGATTCCATGACTACCTCAGGTACAATCGCGGATAGAGGAGTGCTTATGATCTTATTTTTAATAAGATCAATCTTATTTATAAAGAATCCCATAAAATCATTGCTGCTAAGAGCAGGTGGAATGGACGGTTCAACAGAGCTATGGCTCTGGGTGAGTTTGGCAACTGTATTAAAAAGAAATCTAGGATTATTCTTATTCTCCTCTATTAATGAGGAGAAGTATGCTGCTCTTGCTTTACAAAGGGTCCTCTTATACAGCAGTAAACCATTTTTCCAGACTAGGAAGGACTCTCGCAGGCCTGTGGAGCGATATTTTCTCTCCAGTTTCCTAGCATTTTGCTTCAAAGTACGCAGCTCTGCATTAAACCAAGGAGCAAGCTTTCTATTTTTAACGGTTTTCATTTTCAAAGGAGCTGCGTTGTCTAAGGCAATACGCAGAGAACTAGCAACCCCTTCAACAAAATCATCAACCTGTGAAGGGGAATAAGCTAAGCTTTTGCACTCTGCAGCACTGCTCAGTGACACAGAGCAGAGAGAAAGTGAAGCAGATTCTTTAAAATTTATAACTGCACTATCTGATAAAGATCTACTAAAATTGAACCTTCTTTTGGGGGAGGAGAACTCTGTTAAAGTAATCCTGAAGGTTATTAGAAAGTGGTCAGAGAGGACAGGGTTGTGAGGAAATACTGTTATTTCTTCACATTCTATGCCGTATGTCAGCACAAGATCCAAAGTATGAAGATGAGAATGCGTGGGACTATTCACATTTTGAACAAAGCCAATAGTGTCTAAGATAGCATTAAAGGCTGCTCTTAAGCTATCGCCTTCAATGTCAGCATGGATGTTAAAATCTCCCACTATGATGACCCTGTCAGTATTTAATACCAAATCAGAAAGGAACTCTGAAAACTCATCTAAAAATTCAGAGTAAGGACCTGGTGGACGATACAAAGTTACAAAAAGAAGAGGTTTTCTTGCCTTGAAATTTGGATCAGGGAAATTAAGGGTTAAATGTTCAAAAGAGTTGTAGGAATTAATTGTTTTGGGAGTAATCAGTAAGTCAGACTCGAAGATTGTTGCTACTCCTCCTCCTCGCCCAGAACTTCTGGGGATGTGAAAATTTAAATAGCTTGAAGGAGTTGCCTCATTTATGCTCACATAATCCTCTTGCTGCAGCCAGGTTTCTGTAAGGCAAAACAAGTCAATGTGATTATCACAAATCAAGTCATTAACTAGTAGACTTTTAGAGGAAAGCGATCTTATGTTAAACAGACCGCATTTAATTGTTTTAACTTTTTCCCCAATTGGAGTTATTTTGATTTTAATTAGATTATCATGATTTACTCCTTTGGGAATCTTTGCTAATTTATTAGATTTTGGTCGTGGGCAAGACACTGTCTGGATGGAGTAAAGAGTGGGTAACAGTAGAGAAGCTGCAGAGATGTGTGTTAAACTACAACTCTGCTTCCTGGTCTGCACCCTGGGTGGTCAGGGTTTTGGAGGACTAATAAATGTGGCCAGATTCCTAGAAAGAAGAGCTGCACCATCCAAAGTGGGATGGATGCCGTCTCTCCGAATCAGACCAGGCTTTCCCCAAAAGGATTGCCAATTATTAATGTAGCCCACATTGTTTTCAGGGCACCACCTAGACAACCAGCGATTGAATGACGACATGCGGCTAAACATGTCATCACTGGTCAGATCAGGGAGGGGACCAGAGAAAATTTTAAATTCGTTTCAACAACAACCAATCTTTCCTTGGTCTAAAAACTGTACAAAAGTCCTTTTTTAGAATGTCCCATTTGTCCTCCTCTGTCCTTCAATCTTTATAAAAAAAATAAAAATAAGCTGAGACTTTTTGTGTCAACTCGTTAAAACAGAGAGCTCAGTCTTAGAAGGCGTTACTTTCCTTCAAGACTGAATTCACTGTTTTCTACTTTCGGCTACTTTAGATCACCAATGAAATATAAAATAATACCAAATATGGGTGATAATATGTTGAGTCCCTAGGAGAGAGGTTCTTTAAAAAAACGGGTGCAATACAGTTTGTCCGAGTGTAGTTGCCATATATTGACGTCATAAGAAGGGGCGGGGCCCCAAGCAATCTGGTACCTGCAACGGATCGGGTAGTGACACGACCCGTAAACATCAGGCTAACATCAAGCTAACATCTGGCTGATTTCACGTTACAGGCTAATGTTAAGCTAACACCATGCTAACATTGGCCCTTTTAAATTAACTGCTTAACTAGCGCCGTACAATGTATCACAATATAACCCTGTCATATCACTCCATATTGAAACATGCTGATTAAGTTTTTTTTTTACCTGTTTGAATTGAGCACCGGAGAAAAAAGCCCAGGTTTAAATTGTAGCCCTTTCCATATTTAAACATAACCTTTAAAACAGGTCAATCCTGCTACCAACCTTCCTTATCTTGGTCGTGAGAAATTAAGAGGCTAAAGCCTTTCCTGGGCCTACATCCCCCAGAATGCCACAGTGGACATATTTTCTATTAAGATATAAGGTATTTATCACGATATACAGGTGCTGGTCATAAAATTAGAATATCATGAAAAAGTAGATTGATTTCAGTAATTCCATTTAAAAAGTGAAACTTGTATATTATATTCATACATTACATACAAACTCATATATTTCAGATGTTTATTTTGTTTAATTTTGATGATTACAAATGACAACAAATGAAAATCTCAAATTCATCATATCAGAAAATTAGAATATTGTGAAAAGGTTCAAAATTGATGGCCCCTGGTGCCACACTCTAATCAGCTAATTAACTCAAACCACCTGCAAAAGCCTTTAAATGGTCTACACAATCATGGGGAAGACTGCTGACTTGACAGTTGTCCAAAAGACGACCATCGACACCTTGCACAAGGAGGGCAAGACACAAAAGGTCATCGCTAAAGAGGCTGGCTGTTCACAGAGCTCAGTGTCCAAGCACATTAATAGAGAGGCGAAGGGAAGGAAAAGATGTGGTCGAAAAAAGTGTACAAGCAAGAGAGATAACCGCACCCTGGAGAGGATTGTGAAACAAAACCCATTCAAAAATGTGGGGGAGATTCACAAAGAGTGGACTGCAGCTGGAGTGAGTGCTTCAAGAACCACCACACACAGACGTATGAAAGACATGGGTTTCTGCTGTCGCATTCCTTGTGTCAAGCCACTCTTGAACCACAGACAGCGTCAGAAGCGTCTTGCCTGGGCTAAAGAGAAACAGGACTGGACTGCTGGTGAGTGGTCCAAAGTCATGTTCTCTGATGAAAGTAAATTTTGCATTTCCTTTGGAAATCAAGGTCCCAGAGTCTGGAGGAAAAGAAGAGAGGCACTTCATCCACGTTGCTTGAAGTCCAGTGTAAAGTTTCCACAGTCAGTGATGGTTTGGGGTGCCATGTCATCTGCTGGTGTTGGTCCATTGTGTTTTCTGAGGTCCAGGGTCAACGCAGCCACATACCAGGAAGTTTTAGAGCACTTCATGCTTCCTGCAGCTGACCAACTTTTTGGAGATGCAGATTTCATTTTCCAACAGGACTTGGCACCTGCACACAGTGCCAAAGCTACCAGTACCTGGTTGAAGGACCATGGTATCCCTGTTCTTAATTGGCCAGCAAACTCTCCTGACCTTAACCCCATAGAAAATCTATGGGGTATTGTGAAGAAGAAGATGCAATACACCAGACCCAACAATTCAGAAGAGCTAAAAGCCACTATTAGAGCAACCTGGGCTATCATAACACCTGAGCAGTGCCACAGACTGATCGACTCCATGCCACGCCGCATTGCTGCAGTAATACAGGCCAAAGGAGGCCCAACTAAATACTGAGTGCTGTACATGCTCATACTTTTCATGTTCATACTTTTCAGTTGGCCAACATTTCTATAAATCCTTTGTTTTTATTGGTCTTCAGTAATATTCTAATTTTCTGATATGATGAATTTGAGATTTTCATTTGTTGTCATTTGTAATCATCAAAATTAAACAAAATAAACATCTGAAATATATGAGTTTGTATGTAATGTATGAATATAATATACAAGTTTCACTTTTTAAATGGAATTACTGAAATCAATCTATTTTTCATGATATTCTAATTTTATGACCAGCACCTGTATATGTATATAGATTTTTTTGCCCAGCCCTAAAGTGAACCTATCATACAGGGTGCTTTTATTTTCAAACTAAAAAAAGTTACTTCATCCCAATTGTTTTCTTTTTTGTTTCTTATTTTATTTTTCAATGAAACTATCCCGGTTAAATAAAAACTTTTAAAGGAGAAGTCCGGTCAGCATTAAATCAGTGATGTAATGAATTTAGCATTAATAACAAAAAAAATAAAAATAATAACTTTAGCCACGATCACTGAGTCTGGGAGCGGCCATTTTTGCCCAAATCTAGTAACCCCTCCCTCCTGCCATCTTCCAGCAGTGACGTCACGGTGCGGTAAGCCTAGCGCCATTCTCCCCGCTTTACAATCTAAATCAATGGGAACTACTAGACACATCTGCAATCAACAACAATTATTTTAGATTTCCAGAGGACTTCACCATTGAAATTCACCAGAGCTATAGTGAAACTGACAATGCCCACGTGCATGGCAGCTGGATGCTGGAATACATCAGGGAAAAAAATAAGTTATTCCACCTTTCTGATTCCTGATCCTCCACGGACGGGTTGGTCGTTGGATCGCCAACTTGAAGAGGGAGGATTTGCCATCGAACTACTGGCCAGAGAAAAAACCCGTAATATGTAGCCAACATTTGGAAGAAGAATGTTTTCAAGATGACTTGGATAATAGCGCGTTGTGGCAAACACCAGATACAGCACTGGGACTTGATCAACAGCCGATACCGCACCGTGACGTCACTAACCAGTAGGTGGCAGTAGTGTTCTTTGACAAGCATGGATGCCTCCAGTAAAGCACATTCACATGAAAATGACTCTTAATTGAAATACTTATCATTTATCTAACAGTATTTCATAATTTCATATTTAAAGAACTTTCAGAAGTTGGAATTCTGAATATGAGCGGACTTTTCCTTTAATAAAAGCATCCTCTAAACATGAGGCCTAATGCCAGGCTAATGTTAAGTTCACATCAGGTTACTTTAGGTTAACCTCAGGCTATGATTAAGCCAATATAAGGTTAAGAATAGATTGAAACATCAGGACACCAGTAGGGAAACACTGGTTCCTATTTAGCCGTAGGTGGAACCAGACTGTAGGAACTGAACCTGGTGTCCCTCAGCTTTCTCTGCCCTGCTCTCTGTGAGTCTCATATGTTAGCAGCTGTTGAACAGAGCGTGTCTGGAATGTGTGTGTGTAGAACGGAGAAGCCCGGAGAGAGCGGATGGACAGAGGGAACTCCCTGCCGAGCATTCTGGAGCAGAAGGTGAGCCCTGATAAACAGACCAGCTGCTGGGGTCTTCTGTTCTTCCCAGGCTTATCTATCAGCCAGCAGCAGTTCTTCAGTCAGTTCGGTGTAAAGAGATATTTAGACATTGATTTGGAGACAGGAAGTGATGAAAAATGAACACTTCCTTCTCAACATACCTTTGAGTTTACCCTAAAAGGTTAAAACAGCTTCTCTGTCCTCTAGAAAGGTTGAGATCCAGGAAAAAATCGGGCCATACACTGTATGATTTTTTTTTGTGCCCTTTTTGGGCTTATTTTCCAGTCGTGCGAGAATTTTTCGATTGGGCCGACTTTCAGCCTGATCATATGTCTTGTAGTATACAGGGGGTAATCAGCCTCTCACAACCCCCTCCCAATCAGGAACCGGAAGGTCGGGAGAAAATCAAACACGTCTGAAATTCAGTTGCCCGTTTTAAGGTGGTCATGGCCAAATCGCTTCTGCTTCCAGATTGACAAGTCCGACCAGCGCCATCTCTCGGCGCTGAGTCCAACATGGTTTTTAGACGAACAGTGTGAGCAGGTAGATCGCACCAGAGCGTCGGGTCGCACAGTGTGAGAACAAACATCTCGAGCTGTGAACTTTTAAACCCTGCAATTTCATCGTACAGTTTGAGCTGTAGCTGCGTGCAACGATTGAAGATGTTGCGCAGTAAATGCTCAGCTTTAGGTGTAAACAGCAAAGGTGTGACAGACTGTTGCATGTCCGCTGGCGTATCCAAACTTTAAACAGCTACTAGTGATCAGAACTGGGTCCTACTTCTAGTGGATGTGTTCTTGGTGACTCAGTGGGTTTTACAGATGGTGCTTTGTAGCAATAGATTTTTTTAGGTTTAACCACAAACTTGGGGGTGGACCTATTCGCCGTGCATCGCGTAGTGTACAGGGGTAACGAGGGGCGATCAGCTTCTCACGACCACCTCCCGATCAGGAATCGTAAGGTTGGGGCCGACCGTCATGGGCAAATCGCTCAGGCATGCGCAAACAAGCATTCTTCTTTTTCGTCTTCCTCTGAGATGTAAAAACAGCAGCATGGCGGGGAGTGACTGAAATGGAGTTCTTCCTGTAAGATGGACTGACCGTAGTAGCCATGTTTGCTCAGCCATATCTTTGTCCAAGTACGTCCTCACCTTTTCTTTTTAGGGCACAAATGTCCAAGGCAGCGTGTTTGACTCTAGTGAGCTTCACATTCCTCCTCTACTCATTTGGCTTCCAGATAGACAAGTCTGAGTAGCGCCATCTCACCGCGGAGCTGAGTCCGATGTGTTTTTTAGACATAGAGTGTGAGCTGGCAGATCTCATGAGAGCATCGGGCTGAACATGCATCGTCAGCTGTGATCTCACACTGTACGACGAAACCCTGCACTTTTGTCGTACAGTGTGAACGATTGAAAAAAATCGCACAGTGTATGCCCGGCTTAAAGCCTCGAACTCTCGGAAGCAAAACAAACTTGGAAACACAGTCCAGTGTATTGATTTTTTACTTTTTTGGAACACAAACTTGTGTGTTTGTACAAAGTAGTACTCTCTAAGACCCCCTTCACCTGCTGCTAAAGCCGCAGATGTTTAGACATGTCTCCGCCATGTCTGATTGAATGTATCACTGATAACCTAATCAGCCATGTGTCAATGATTATCACGACTTTCAGTTAATTATATTTTTAGTTGAAAAAGGTGACGAAAGTTTGTCTGTTCCTCAGATCTATCCGTATGAAGCCCTGATTGTAACCCACAGAGGGCGCTGTAAGTTGCCCCCTGGAGTGGACCGGACTCGGCTGGAGGTGAGAATCATCCCGGTTCCACCTTGAAACTAGTCTTAGACTTGGTGTGAATGAATCTAACGAGGTTCTGTCCCTGCTCTGACAGAGGCATCTCTCCCCGGAGCAGTTCCAGCAGATCTTTGGGATGCCCATCGCTGACTTTGACCGCCTGTCGCTATGGAGAAGAAACGAACTGAAGAAAAAAGCGTTGCTGTTCTAACAGGAAGTGACCTCTTCTCAACCAGTACTTGATGAAGCCTGAAGCCCTTCCTCTGTAACGAGGAGAAGCAGAGAGCTACCGTAATACCAACCTATGTCCCTGGGAGGGTTCTGGATCCGTACCTCTGATGACCGTTCTGGTCAGACTTTAAACATAAAACCATCTGACATATTATCAGTGCTGCACTTATAACCACCACTGCTTGTAAACCATTCCTGTCATATATCCAACCGCACCGTTAACGTGACATTATTCTCACTGAGTAACGCCGCAAAGCTCAACATCCGGAAGAGGAACCAGCGGATTTCTTTAGGATAAACTCACATGTTTTTGGTACCATGAAGCTGATGCTAACCTGTGAGGCTGACTGCCTCCTGCTGGAGTCCCTGGGCAAGGCAGCGTAAAGTTAGGTGTTTTTGCCATCAATGGTGCTGTTATGTTATTCTGATTGGATGATTATTGAGATGGCGGTCAGTTGTTTGGCACAGAAGGAGCAGCTTCTTCCCGTTCAGTGATATTGGTGTACCTAACAGTAGTTCACAATTCCCACACTTTCCTTGGCTGGTCCTTTACAATTTCTTTTTAAACATTCATCTTCGTACTAAAATATTCTTTCTGTCATGATTTGTGGACATTAAGATCTAAAGAGAAGCGCCATCTCCTGGTCAGACCTTGTAACTCAGTGAAAGGGGTTCGCTCCAGTGGCTGGAAGTGTGAGGGGAATTTGCTGGGAGTTGCAGGTTCTGCTGCCATTGGTCCGGCGTTTGAATGGGAAAGGCCATTTTGAATTGCTGCTACTGTAAATCCCCAAAAGTGGAAGAAAGTAACATGTAGTGTTTCCCTGCCAATAAATGTTATAAAGCGTGTGATGAAGGGTGACGAACACAAAGAACAGAGGAAGTCCATCGTCTCCCCTCTTTTATTTCATCCAGGTTTTTTTCCTAAATATTTATAACCCGACCATTTAAGGTCAGAAACACAGAAACCTTATTTCTTAACACTTTCAGGATTGGGTATTTTCAGTTTAGACTTTTTTTTGGAAAAGAACAACATAAACTACTAGCCAAGGCTCCATGGTGTTTGGCGGCCTGGTGGGCTTCGCTTCAGGAGACTTTTCTATTCCCGTTTCTGTCTTGAAAATACCACCTATATAGTTGCCTAATCCATAAACAGTCCTCTGCTTGTGTTGGAATTTAGAAAAAAATCAGGTTGGTTTGATCTTTGAACAGGAGTCGCCATCTCAGCCCGTTTTTCAATATGTGTACTTGGCATTAGCCTTAGCCCTACTACTGTTCCAATTGACAGTGCCAGTACCCGATCCGTCCCGGAAGCACATCCATCCTGTGCATGCGCAAATAGAATAACTTCCCGGTAGGCAATACTTCAGTTTTCTTACTTTTTTTATTCTTTTCTATTTTTCCAGCGGGGAGTTCCTTTTTAACATTTTGGTATTTGCATAAATATTGCATATTCTTCAAACGAAAAAAAGCCTTTGGAAGGTTCCTGTGACTGCTCCGAGCATGTCCGATGAGGATGTCACGCAATACAGTGGAGAGAATGTAAATCGTATCCATTTCTTCCAGAAGTCCTCAATATTTTCTATATGATGTATTTTAGAATTCTTTAATGTTTTAAGGATATAAAAAAGTATTTTCAATACCGTTCTGTAGTTTTTCGGCGATCCGGATGTTATGATTCTGCTTGTTCGTGTTCAGCACGGATCGTGCTTCCTGGACAGACAGCAGACTTGTCCGTTCTTGAGATTGACACCGTCTGATGACTCAAGGCTGTCCCAGCATGCACTGCGGCAGCAGCAGCTTCAGAGTATTAAGTTAAAAATTATTTTCTGTCACTTTTGTACCATAAAAGTACGTTTTAAGATAATTTGATCATTATACATTTAAGCGTCACTATATGGCCCATTTACTGATTTAGTGCTTAATTAAAAAAAGTTCCAATGCTGAGACGAAAACCAGCGGACTGCAATTCCTTTTTAAACATCTAAAATATTCTTTCTGCCATGATTTGTGGACATTAAGATCTAAAGAGAAACATCAGACCCTGTAACTAGTGAAAGGGTGGAGTCAGAGTAAATAAATATAAACGCCCAGGAGAAAATGGCTTTTGACTGGGAAGAGCCATTTTGAATTGCGTTTTAATACGGATAAATGGGTGGAAAGTAAGAGCTGTTTGACCCCTCAGGTCACCAAGAAGGATCTAAGATCACCTCTAAAACACAGCAGAGCTGTAAAGCAGCTCTTCAGTCTGACATCAGCTTCATGGTACCGGTTCAACCTCCTCCTGATCCGATGAGGACAGCTAGCTGCTCTATAGTCTGAGTGACAGCCGGGTCCAATAGCTGACAGCCATTTTATTTCTCCTTGGCAGCTTCAAAGGCTGCGTTTACTTTAGAGTTCTTCAGGTTTGTTTTAAATGAGCACTGAAATCCGTCCTCATCTCTGAAACACTTGAAAGGAGGCTTTCCTGCTTATCAACATGTCACCAGTAAACAACATGCCGGGATTCCTCATCCTCACTATACCTAGAATAAATCTGTTCAAGTGAAAAAAAGTCTCTGTCTGGGTTTCTTTCCTTCGTCTCACCTCCTTTGTCCGACTCGTAGGCGGGACTTGTGTTCATCCACCCGTCAGCTTTGTCCAGCTGTTTTACAACTTTAACCTTTTTCTTTTTTTTTCTTTTTTTATTGAACTTTTTTGCAAAGCAGGAAAACATCAAAAATGAAACACTCTACATACATGTGAGAAGGATATACAGTACACACATAAACCAAAAATAAAAAATAAAATAATTAAATAAATAAATAAATAAAGGGAGTCCAAAAGCAGAAAAAACCCACAAACATAACACTACAAATTGTCCTCTTGTAGCCAAGCTTTATCTAATGAACCCAGTCTCATTCTCTGAGCTGCAGGCGCATCCAGGTAGTCCAAAAAAGGGTCCCATGTCCGGTAAAAAAGAAATGGTTTGTCTTTCAACATCATAGAAAAGGCCTCCAGTGGAATAAGACTTATTACAGTCCATTTCCACTGGTTTATAGAAGTAACATGACTCCACCAGATGGATTTGCTCCACATATCCATCTGGAAACCTTCCGTTGAAGTAATTTTGGGAAGGGGCGAAAATACTGGTTAGCTGATTGGCCTATGTTGGTGATAGACGGGCCAAATAAACCAATCAGATCAACGAAGCATATGACGTACTAACAGAGCGACGACGAAGAGGAGCCAATTGATAGATCAAACTCTTGCCGAAACCAGTCGGGAGAAGAGCAAAAACATATTTTCCTCTGAGAAAAGCCTCCAGAGCAGTGTTTTGCTCTTCTTTCAGTCAAGAAATACTCTGTAATTCCGATAAAACTTGCTCGATAGCCACGCTAACGCTAGTTTCATCGGCCGAAGCCGCCATGTTCTTTAGACTGAACGCGCTTCTCGTTGCGTCACACCTCAACCCGCCTCAAAGCCAACGCTGATTGGACGTTCGTTTGGTGAACGGCTCCAAATTTTCTTTAACGGAGAGTCTCCAGACTGATTAGCGAGTGAAATCTTGAAAGCTCGCGAGATCAGGATGGTCTCACGAGGCTACGTTCTTGCACCCAATTGCAGTTGGTACCTAAATATTAAACGTAACTTGTCTATAACGGATTCCCAGAATTGCAGAATATGAGGACAACTACACAAGCAATAGAACAAAGAACCAACAGCAGACTGACATTTACAAAGATTTGATAACGCTGGAAACTTTCTATGTCTCATTTCAGGTGTGTTATAATGCCAATGAAGGATTTTAAATTGTCTCTCCCAGGTAGAACTCTATAGTGCCTAAATCCACTTCCCACAGGCCCTTACTTTAACATTTTTAGACTTTACGATGACCGTCCGCTTCCAGAGAAGAGTCTAGATAAATAATCAGTGTTTATACAGAATTTACATTCATCTCCAGTGTGGTTTTGGGAGCCTCTGGTCCAAAGTAGTTTGTTAGCGTCTGTTTGTCCAAAGCCTTTAGAACCGCCTTAAAAACTGTAGTGCGCTGCGGTCCGTTTCACCAAGCAGGTTTACTGAAAACTGTTTAGTTTTCTAAACCTGAAATATGGGAAACTCTGAGTTTTCCGGTTCACAAAGACATTTTCCACACCCTCTGTTTTAGTCGCCATAGTAACATTCTCCCCAGAGCTAGCCTGTTGGGTAGCAGGTTTCCTCGGTCTCATTACAGCCAATCACGTTGTTTTATTTCCTGATTCAGTCAGATTTCAGTCGTAGTTTTGTGTATAAAAAAAGAACAAATCCTTAATTTTGTTATGAATGATCGGTATTTTTTCACAGAGAATTTAATATTTATAGGAGAGGAGCGGAGGATAGGATATTTATGCGTCTTTGGTTTGTTTTACATGAGCAACAGGCAAATAATTTTTATTTATTTTTACAGTGCATGAAGAACTAATGAAATAATTTTCAGATTACACATTACGTTCATTTATTCCGCGGGTGAAATTAGTTACTTAGGGTTAGCATTATCGTTAAATCAGTCCAACCTAGAGAGTCTACTGACTCAATCTGAATTCATTCTATGGGACTGATAACAACCTTTTATTGGGATGATAATATCTGAAGGTGCTGCAAACAGCCACTTAGTGTTTACTGGACTGAATCAACATTAGGAGGGACAAATGGGATGAGGCTCAGGTTCTATAGGTTAGATCATCGTTTTTATTCACCTAAATAGATTCATTGATCTACCACCATAACAACAGGCTATGGCAAGCCATTTTGATTTGTATTGATTTAACTGAATATTTATTTCTGATATTTGAAAAAAACATTTTTTCTTTCTCTAAATGACCATTTCAAACAAAAATGACATTCTCCACATGTAGAATAATCATTATAGATGTCTACAAAGGTATTTAAAAATGTCCATATTCCTAATATACAGGTCATCATTTGTATTATTTTGACTATAAAGAAATTTATTTCAGGTATTAGTAAAGCGGATAAATGTAAAAAAAAAAAAAAAAAAAAAAAAAAGCCACTTAAAATGTAAAAAAAATATTACTAGATTTATAAAACTTAATTTTTACTAGTATAATTTTGTTTTAGCTTTCTAAAAATCAGTTTTTGCTACAAAATTTATTAAAATATATATATATATATTATTACAGTTCAGTCTAGGAGTGTGATCTTTATAAGGAAGAATCTTATTTTAGTGATCTATAAATGGAAAAACAGAAAGGGGAGTGCTTTGAATAAATGTAAAAATGTACTGCCTTAGGGAACTTTATATAAACTTACACATAACCTCAAGCAACAATCTTCTCCTTCGACACCTTCCTCTCCTTTGCAGCTGTAGGAATGTTTCTGTCTTTGAAACAAATTATCCCTTTTATATTATGCCTGCATTAAAATCTCTTGGTCTTGTGGGGTGTATGTTGTCATGGTGACTCGTTGGTCTACTGATAATGGCTTTTAATACTTCTTAAGCACTGGTTCTAATTGGAGATGATTGAACTAATTCATAGCAGCCAACTTTAGGCTAGATCAATTTAGAGTTGCGGATCTGAATCAGTTTGTTAAACCTGCTTATATTCATCTTTCTTCTATCTTCCTCTCTGTTTAGACCTTGTGTGCAGCAAATGGACTGATCCAAAAACAGTGTAGGGGGGAGGCTGAGACACACTTATATCCATTCTGATGGTATTCTAGCAAAAGGATTTTTATCAAAAACATAATGTGACAAATAAGTAATAGCTGTATCAACCATATAGGAGTTTTATGGGGCCCACAGGAACTTGGGGCCCTAGTTTTGCTTAAAGGTAAATCCGCCCCTGTTCATATAAGGATCCAATGCAACTTCCCACAAACTCTGATATTTCTGTAGCTTCAATTATATAAGAAAGCAGTGAATGCCAGAGGTGCGTGAGGAGAAAAAATACACGAAACGGATGGCATGTGAAAAACTAAAAACTCTTTTATTGTGATGTTTGGATTAAAGTTATTTTCCCTCTGAATTAAATTGGGTTCTCAATGAAAAGAGACATTGTTGTTTCCTAACAGCTGATTGGCTGCCATGGAGCAGGTTTGCCGTTATGTTACCATGGTAACTGGCATCACCAGAGAATCTAGCTTAGTGGAAGCAGGAAGTCCAGGTTAAACCTGAAGTGATCTCACTAAGCCGGTAATTCCATTCATCTCCATTTACTCACTGGATTGCTGATCGTTGGTAGAACGGTGTTGAAGTGGAGCCACCGACCGCCATATTGGTACTCCCTAGTTAGACTGGTCGCAATGTAAACAATCTGTGCGCTACAGCATCGAAAAATGATCTCATTTTCAGGGGGACTTAAGACTTTTAAAATAAATGTATCACTTTGTCACACTCTGGCTGTTTTATAGCATCAGTAGATTAACTTGAACTTAGAATAGAATAAATAGGCCCATCACATTGCATAGTCAATATGAAGTCCATAAATCAGGGGTTGTCAACATTTTCCAGGCTAAGGACCCCAAACTGATGGCGAGATGGAGCGGGGACCCCCTAATTTTATATATTGTATGAAATTGTGTTATATTAATCTGGTTCTATAGTCACTCTATTACAGATGGAGTCATGTAATGGAACTAATTTCTCCCTGGGATTATTAAAGTATTTCTGATTCCTGGTTGATGGGACAGGTGTTGTGAATGAATCGGTGCCCAGCTTGAAAGAGCTCCTGTGTGTCTCTGAATGTGAGCATTGATGACTGAAAGACATCTTCTGCCTCCATTTATCTGTTTACTACAGTCTGTTGAATTCATGTTAATGTGAATTTGAAGATATTTCAATTAGTGGAAAAAAATTGCAGGAGGGAATATAAAAAAAAAAGGTTTAGGTTACAGCTATCCTATACCTGTTTCACCTCCTTTCTCTGGTTCATTTGTCATTTATGTTGAAGACTATCTAAAAATATAAGTCATGTTTTTAGATATTTTATGCATCAAATCTTGATATTCTTTCTCTGACTTTTTGAAGAACTAAAAAAATCAACAACAACAAAACAACAATAACAACAATAACAAAACATTTTTTATATAATCTTCTATTTTCCACTCTTTTGTCAGATATTTGACTTATTTTTACTCAGATACGCAGATCTGCATTGATGACTGAAAGACATCTGCCTCCATTTATCTGTTTACTGCAGTGTGTTGAATTCATGTTAATGTGGATTTAAAGACATTTCAATTAGTGGAAAATATTGCAGGGGGGAATAAGTCTAATTAACCAAAACTTCGCGACCCCCATGCAGTACCTATGCGGACCCCCTGTTGAAGACCTCTGTTCTAAATCATGTAATATAACATTATACAAATCAATCACAATAAAATTAATGTGTTAATGGAGCAGAATACAGATTTGCCAAAAGTGTTAAATTGATGTACATGTAATACAGGTGCTGGTCATAAAATTAGAATATAATGAAAAAGTAGATTGATTTCAGTAATTCCATTTAAAAAGTGAAACTTGTATATTATATTCATACATTACATACAAACTCATATATTTCAGATGTTTATTTTGTTTAATTTTGATGATTACAAATGACAACAAATGAAAATCTCAAATTCATCATATCAGAAAATTAGAATATTACTGAAGACCAATAAAAACAAAGGATTTATAGAAATGTTGGCCAACTGAAAAGTATGAACATGAAAAGTATGAGCATGTACAGCACTCAGTATTTAGTTGGGCCTCCTTTGGCCTGTATTACTGCAGCAATGCGGCGTGGCATGGAGTCGATCAGTCTGTGGCACTGCTCAGGTGTTATGATAGCCCAGGTTGCTCTAATAGTGGCTTTTAGCTCTTCTGAATTGTTGGGTCTGGTGTATTGCATCTTCTTCTTCACAATACCCCATAGATTTTCTATGGGGTTAAGGTCAGGAGAGTTTGCTGGCCAATTAAGAACAGGGATACCATGGTCCTTCAACCAGGTACTGGTAGCTTTGGCACTGTGTGCAGGTGCCAAGTCCTGTTGGAAAATGAAATCTGCATCTCCAAAAAGTTGGTCAGCTGCAGGAAGCATGAAGTGCTCTAAAACTTCCTGGTATGTGGCTGCGTTGACCCTGGACCTCAGAAAACACAATGGACCAACACCAGCAGATGACATGGCACCCCAAACCATCACTGACTGTGGAAACTTTACACTGGACTTCAAGCAACGTGGATGAAGTGCCTCTCTTCTTTTCCTCCAGACTCTGGGACCTTGATTTCCAAAGGAAATGCAAAATTTACTTTCATCAGAGAACATGACTTTGGACCACTCACCAGCAGTCCAGTCCTGTTTCTCTTTAGCCCAGGCAAGACGCTTCTGACGCTGTCTGTGGTTCAAGAGTGGCTTGACACAAGGAATGCGACAGCAGAAACCCATGTCTTTCATACGTCTGTGTGTGGTGGTTCTTGAAGCACTCACTCCAGCTGCAGTCCACTCTTTGTGAATCTCCCCCACATTTTTGAATGGGTTTTGTTTCACAATCCTCTCCAGGGTGCGGTTATCTCTCTTGCTTGTACACTTTTTTCGACCACATCTTTTCCTTCCCTTCGCCTCTCTATTAATGTGCTTGGACACTGAGCTCTGTGAACAGCCAGCCTCTTTAGCGATGACCTTTTGTGTCTTGCCCTCCTTGTGCAAGGTGTCGATGGTCGTCTTTTGGACAACTGTCAAGTCAGCAGTCTTCCCCATGATTGTGTAGCCTATAGAACTAGAGTGAAAGACCATTTAAAGGCTTTTGCAGGTGGTTTGAGTTAATTAGCTGATTAGAGTGTGGCACCAGGGGCCATCAATTTTGAACCTTTTCACAATATTCTAATTTTCTGATATGATGAATTTGAGATTTTCATTTGTTGTCATTTGTAATCATCAAAATTAAACAAAATAAACATCTGAAATATATGAGTTTGTATGTGATGTATGAATATAATATACAAGTTTCACTTTTTAAATGGAATTACTGAAATCAATCTACTTTTTCATGATATTCTAATTTTATGACCAGCACCTGTATACATGTATTTGGTACATTGCTACGGTAATTATATCCTACATATGCATGCTATATATATATATATATATATATTTTTTTTATATAAGAAATAAAACAAAATAAATATACTACATAAATACTACATCAACATTTCAAATTGAAGTACTTTCGATTTATTCTGCTTTCTAATGTTGAACCTTATGGCTAACTCAATGTCTTCCAGTCAGTCTGAGATAGCCAGACTGTTACGCTACACGCTGCACTGTAGGATCCTTCTGCTTATATATTGATTTTCTTGGTTAATCATCCACTGACTGAGGCCCCGTCCACACGAAGACGAACCCTGGCCTAAACGCACAAATTTTTCACCAAACCAGCCTCTCATCCATACGAAGCCGGCGTTTCGGGGGTCTGTAAACGATTTTTTTTATTCAGCCTTCAGAGTGGGAAGATTTCGAAACACCGTTTTCGCGTTTCCATCTTTACGCTCTAACCGCATTTTTTTTTTTTTTTTTTTTTACACGCATGCGTCATAGCGTCGCCTCTAAACACGCATGCGCGACACAGTATCACAACAACAATGGCGCTGTTGCTGCTAATGCTACTCACCGTGCTGTCGGGCTTACAACAGAATCTTCTTCTGGAATATCTCCAGGAAGAACAGAGCAATATCGACCACATAGTTCAGCACCTGAATTTGACTGAACCACGAAAATGGACCCGCAGGGCAACCATGTATAAATATTAGTGCGCATGCCCAACATTTCGTCGCTTATTTTTGCTTTGGCACCACAGCGCCACTTACAGGCCTGGCATACATTTTGCAGCGTTTTCATGCATTCGTGTGGACGCTCACATTTATTTTACGTCTCCGTCTTTACGGCAGACGTTTTGGAAAATATCCGCGTTTCGTGTTCGTCTTGACTTCGTGTGGACGGGGCCTGGGAAATTACCTGTGGAACGTCTTCCTGCGGACAGAAAACTGCTGGTTTTTGCAGCCAAATTCTACATGGGGAGGCATTTTTACTCACTTTTTTCAGCTATCAGCAATCCAGTGAATAAATACAGATCAGTGGGTAATTCTGATTCAGGGTTCAGGCCTTTAATTTGGTCTCTGAACACAGATATATGTGGTTGCCATGGTTTCAGATTCGGTCCCCCACCCCCTTGACCTTTGTGAGGCAGAGACGCTGTGTTGCTAAATGACACCAAGGTGGGAAAGGATTGACACACTCATAGCAGGAGGAGTTTTTCTGTTTTTTTTTTATTGAATGGAGTGAAACGTCTACATGAATGAGAGGCCTTGCAGAACATAAACAACAAAACAAGAAAAAAAAAAAGAGCATGAAAATGTATCTGTAAAGAAAAACAAACCCACAACCTGTGAGATGTTCTGAGGCCCGTCCAACTGCCAAGTCTGGACTAAACCCTGCTTCTCAAGTCAATTCATTGGTAAACTTGTTTTTTTTTTGCCAATTAAAGCTCTGAGCTGGAGGACCAGCAGGTTTCATTAAAGTCGTCACTGCTGGACCGATCGCTCCTTCAGGATCTGCTTTATTTAGATGGTTCAGCCTCAGAGAGGAATAAAGCTCTTTATTCCATCTTTGGTTTACTAATATTTTTTACACATTTTTGCTTTTAGATTTTAATGAGCAATTAAACATCTTTGGATACTTAACAGTTTTTCCAGGATTGTTTGGAAATTTTAAGCTAAAGGTTTAATTGGGAACAATTTATTATGATACAGAACACCTTCCTGGAAAAGTTTCTGTCGGTTTAGCAGAAACTGGAGGAGGAGTGGAAACCCATGCAGGGCGCCAACCAGGGAAAAGTCTGAATAAAAGCCTCTAATAATCAGGGCTTTTTTTCAGTCTTTATCATTCCACCTCCTTAAATTAGGGGGGAGCTCCAGGACCCCCCCCCCCCCTTAATCTTTTTGTGTGCTGTAAAAAAGTAAACAACAAAAACCCATCACATTGAAAAGCAGGAAGTTAAAACATCCATATACAGTATAAATGTCAATACTCGCTCTGCAGAGCTCAGTCACACTATTGTTGGCATAGAAACAATGGATGAATGTGTGTGTGTGTGTGTGTGTGTGTGTGTGTGTGTGTGTGTGTGTGTGTGCGTTGCAGACAAATACAGCATCTGAACGAGCATCACTTCTTCCCCAATGGTATAAAAAAAAAAGAAAAAAAAAAGCAAAGACAGACGGCCGGCCCAGAGGTGTGCCGTTGGGGCCAGCAAGCATCCAGTCCTGGTCGAGATTTCCTCGGTTCCGTCTCCGTACTCTGATATTTACTCCATGAGAAAATAAATAAGCACTCAGACCGGACTGACTCCGCCCCCCCTCCCCCCAGCTCTGACGGGAGGATGGAGGCCGAGGAAAAGGAAGCGAGGAAGGACAGAGGAGAGGAAGAGAAGCCAGAGAGGAGCTAGGCCTGCTGGGCGCTGGTGCCGTTCTTGTCTGGGGGCCCGGTGCCGGCGGGCAGGTTGTTGAGGGAGGGGGGGCCTTCGTGCTGCTTGCTGTCGCGGCGGGGGGGCATCCTCTCGTTGATCAGGTCCAGCCCCCGCGCCTCCTCGAAGCTCTGGATCTTATGCTGCGGATTGAAGCCTTGAATGGCTGCAGGGACAAAGGAGGCCGTTAGAGTCGGAACCAACAGAACCCCAATCACAACCAGAGTCAGCAACCGCACTCAAGAACCAGCCAGAACCACACTCAAGCACCACACTCAAGAACAACTCAAGAACCAGCCAGAACCACACTCAAGAACCACACTCAAGTACAACTCAAGAACCAGCCAGAACCACACTCGAGAACCACTCAAGAACCAGCCAGCACCACACTCAACAACCACTCAAGAACCAGCCAGAACCACACTCAAGAACCACTCAAGATCCAGCCAGAACCACACTCAAGCACCACACTCAAGATCCAGCCAGAACCACACTCAAGAACCACTCAAGATCCAGCCAGAACCACACTCAAGCACCACACTCAAGATCCAGCCAGCACCACACTCAACAACCACTCAAGAACCAGCCAGAACCACACTCAAGAACCACTCAAGATCCAGCCAGAACCACACTCAAGCACCACACTCAAGAACAACTCAAGAACCAGCCAGAACCACACTCAAGAACCACACTCAAGTACAACTCAAGAACCAGCCAGAACCACACTCGAGAACCACTCAAGAACCAGCCAGAACCACACTCAAGAACCACACTCAAGAACAACTCAAGAACCAGCCAGAACCACACTCAAGAACCACACTCAAGAACAACTCAAGAACCAGCCAGAACCACACTCGAGAACCACTCAAGAACCAGCCAGCACCACACTCAACAACCACTCAAGAACCAGCCAGAACCACACTCAAGCACCACACTCAAGAACAACTCAAGAACCAGCCAGAACCACACTCAAGAACCACACTCAAGAACCACTCAAGAACCAGCCAGAACCACACTCAAGAACCACTCAAGAACCAGCCAGAACCAAACTCGAGAACCACTCAAGAACCAGCCAGAACCACACTCAAGAACCACTCAAGATCCAGCCAGAACCACACTCAAGCACCACACTCAAGATCCAGCCAGAACCACACTCAAGAACCACACTCAAGAACCAGCCAGAACCACACTCGAGAACCACTCAAGAACCAGCCAGAACCACACTCAAGCACCACACTCAAGAACAACTCAAGAACCAGCCAGAACCACACTCAAGAACCACACTCAAGAACCAGCCAGAACCACACTCGAGAACCACTCAAGAACCAGCCAGAACCACACTCGAGAACCACTCAAGAACCAGCCAGAACCACACTCGAGAACCACTCAAGAACCAGCCAGCACCACACTCAAGATCCAGCCAGCACCACACTCAAGATCCAGCCAGCACCACACTCAAGATCCAGCCAGCACCACACTCGAGAACCAGCCAGCACCACACTCAAGAACCACTCAAGAACCAGCCAGAACCACACTCAAGCACCACACTCAAGAACCAGCCAGAACCACACTCAAGCACCACACTCAAGAACCAGCCAGAACCACACTCAAGCACCACACTCAAGAACCACTCAAGAACCAGCCAGCACCACACTCAAGATCCAGCCAGCACCACACTCAAGAACCAGCCAGAACCACACTCAAGAACCACTCAAGAACCAGCCAGCACCACACTCAAGATCCAGCCAGAACCACACTCAAGATCCAGCCAGAACCACACTCAAGCACCACACTCAAGAACCACTCAAGATCCAGCCAGCACCACACTCAAGGACCAGCCAGAACCACACTCAAGAACCACACTCAAGAACAACTCAAGAACCAGCCAGAACCACACTCAAGAACCACACTCAAGAACAACTCAAGAACCAGCCAGAACCACACTCAAGAACCACACTCAAGAACAACTCAAGAACCAGCCAGAACCACACTCAAGAACCACTCAAGAACCAGCCAGCACCACACTTAAGGACCAGCCAGAACCACACTCAAGAACCACACTCAAGAACAACTCAAGAACCAGCCAGAACCACACTCGAGTACCACTCAAGAACCAGCCAGAACCACACTCGAGTACCACTCAAGAACCAGCCAGAACCACACTCGAGAACCACTCAAGAACCACTCAAGATCCAGCCAGCACCACACTCGAGATCCAGCCAGCACCACACTCGAGAACCAGCCAGCACCACACTCGAGAACCAGCCAGCACCACACTCGAGAACCAGCCAGCACCACACTCAAGAACCACTAAAGAACCAGCCAGAACCACACTCAAGCACCACACTCGAGAACCAGCCAGCACCACACTCGAGATCCAGCCAGCACCACACTCGAGAACCAGCCAGCACCACACTCGAGAACCAGCCAGCACCACACTCGAGAACCAGCCAGCACCACACTCGAGAACCAGCCAGCACCACACTCGAGAACCAGCCAGCACCACACTCGAGAACCAGCCAGCACCACACTCGAGAACCAGCCAGCACCACACTCGAGAACCAGCCAGAACCACACTCAAGAACCAGCCAGAACCACACTCCAGCACCAGTCAGAACCACACTCCAGCACCAGTCAGAACCACACTCAAGAACCAGTCAGAACCACACTCAAGAACCAGCCAGAACCACACTCAAGAACCAGCCAGAACCACACTCAAGAACCAGCCAGAACCACACTCAAGCACCACACTCAAGAACCACTCAAGAACCAGCCAGAACCACACTCAAGAACCACACTCAAGCACCACACTCAAGAACCAGCCAGAACCACACTCAAGCACCACACTCAAGGACCAGCCAGAACCACACTCAAGCACCACTCAAGAACCAGCCAGAACCACACTCAAGAACCAGTCAGAACCACACTCAAGAACCAGTCAGAACCACACTCAAGAACCAGTCAGAACCACACTCAAGAACCAGCCAGAACCACACTCAAGAACCACACTCAAGAACCAGCCAGAACCACACTCAAGAACCAGCCAGAACCACACTCAAGAACCAGCCAGAACCACACTCAAGAACCACACTCAAGAACCAGCCAGAACCACACTCAAGAACCAGCCAGAACCACACTCAAGAACCAGCCAGAACCACACTCAAGAACCAGCCAGAACCACACTCAAGAACCAGCCAGAACCACACTCAAGAACCAGCCAGAACCACACTCAAGAACCACACTCAAGAACCAGCCAGAACCACACTCAAGAACCACACTCAACAACCAGCCAGAACCACACTCAAGAACCAGTCAGAACCACACTCAAGAACCAGTCAGAACCACACTCAAGAACCACACTCAAGAACCAGCCAGAACCACACTCAAGAACCAGCCAGAACCACACTCAAGAACCACACTCAAGAACCACACTCAAGAACCAGTCAGAACCACAGTCAGAACCAAGCATAAGAAGGCAGCAGGGTTGGAAAGGAACCAGTCTGAGCTTGTGGGTTGGGACGCCATTCGACCTCCCAGCATCCACATGATCCCACGGGACGTCACGGCTTTACCAGCAGATGACCCCAGCAGCCCACTAGTGACCTGGCAAACCAGGTTCTTTAGAACCAGACCCATAGAATCTGTGGTTCTGTCCTGAAGCTATGACTACATTTAATCCCAGACATTCGAATTCCCAGTAAATAACCCATGGTTCTGATACTCCTGGGTCCTTTCAGAACCTGCTGCCAACAGAAACATTGACCGGACAAGAAAACAGCGCTGAAGAGAAGAACCAAAGACAAACTTACTTGAGGAGCAGACAGAGACAGCATGGAAAAAACCAGAAGCAACAATTTAGTTCTGAACATCAGGGACTTTTTAAGCAATTCGGTCAGAACCAAACAGCTCTGACCGGCTCCGCCATCCAGACATGAGAGTCACGGGCTGAAAGGGGGCACCGAACCGTCCCTCCTCCTGCAGCCAGGCCCCATGGTCTGGACCAGACTACTCCCATTCAACCTGGTTCTAGACCACAGTTCCTAATGTCCCATCCTGGAAATTTTAGACAAATTTCTGCTGCCACACCCAAAATCCAATGATAGTTCTCTAAGTGAGCAGATTATTGGACTCCAGTGTGTTAAAGCAGAGAGGTATCTGAAAGTTCCAGAAAACTGGAGATGAGGAACGTGGCACTAGAACCAGACTGGACTTTTCTCCAGAACCTGTTCTAATGTACAGAAATTTCCGGTACAGAACAGGAACTAGGGCTGCAACTAACCATTATGTTGATAATAGTTTAATTATTTTTCAATTAATTGATTAACAATCAGATAGCCAAAGGTTCCTTAAAGGAAAAGTCTGCTCATATTAAGAATTTAAACTTCTGAAAGTTCTTTAAATATGAAATTATGAAATACTGTTCAATAAAAAAGTGTTTCTAATTAAGTGTAATTTTCATGTGAATGTGCTTTACTGGAGGCATCCGTGTTTGTCAAGGAACACTACTGCCACCTACTGGTTAGTGACGTCACGGTGCGGTATCGGCTGTTGATCAAGTCCCAGTGCTGTATCTGGTGTTTGTCACAACGCGCTATTATCCAAGTCATCTTGAAAACATTCTTCTTCCAAATGTTGGCTACATATTACGGGTTTTTTCTCTGGCCAGAAGTTCGATGGCAAATCCTCCCTCTTCAAGTTGGCGATCCAACGACCAACCCGTCGGTGGAGGATCAGGAATCAGAAAGGTGGAATAACTCTTTTTTTTTTCACTTTTACCCGATGTATTCCAGCATCCAGCTGCCATGCACGTGGGCATTGTCAGTCTCACTATAGCTCTGGTGAATTTCAATGGTGAAGTCCTCTGGAAGCAAAATCAGTGGGAACTACTAAACACATCTACAATCAACAACAATTATTGAAGATTTCCAAAGCGGGGAGAATGGCGCTAGGCTTACCGCACTGTGACGTCACTGCTGCAAGATGGCAGGAGGGAGGGGTTACTATATTTGAGCAAAATTGGCCACTCCCAGACTCGTAAATAATAACTTTTAATTTTTTACTGATTAATGCTAAATTTATTAACCCTGTAATGCCAAATGTGTCATATTTGATACATACGGTTTCTGAAATGTTTTGCGTCTGACATGTTTTGCATAAGTTAAAGGTAAAAACTTTGCTCAAAATCCTGTTGTACACAATCAGATATATCTGATAACAGAGGGCAGAAGACTACACAAAAAATAATCTTGACTTTTTTCTCTTTACATATTTTGTTAAAATGCCAAATAAGGACTTTAAAACAAAACAGAAAATTACTTTTTTTGGGGTTTGTTCTTGGATAGGGCTTGGATCATTATTTATACCTTAAACTAATACGTTCGCAGAGATTTAACCCAAATCTCTGCGAACGTATTAGTTTAAGGTATAAATAATGATCCATTGATCATTCCTTGCTGACCGGACTTTTCCTTTAAAGAAGACTTCTTGAAAAATTAAATGAATGAAACTAAAACTTTTCCACCTGAGGAGTTCTGGATAGAGCTTTTTTTGTTTTTTTTTTGTTTGTTTTTTAATCTTAAATGCCAAAATTTTGCATATATTTTTACAATCTTGGTATAATTTGTGCTCTAAGTGGGTCGCTCTGACAGCTGCTTAGCATGTTATGTTTTACAGCCTCTATGCTCCAGTTAACTATTAATCAATTCCAAAAGTAGTTGACGATTATTTCAATAATTGATTAATCTGATTCATAGTTTCAACCCTAATGGGAACAATAAGCTTTTTTTTTTTTTGGTTCTGGATGAGCCCGGTTGATCCTGCTGGTTGGTGGGGGCACAGAGACAGACAGACGCACAGAAACTAGAGAAAGGGTTGCGTACCTCGTGCCTCCTCTGCCTCTACGGTGGCTGTGTAAGCGTGAGGAGAAGAGCCATGCCCAGAACAACAATGGAGAGAGAGTGGGACGGTTAGACATCATCAGACACATCGTCAAAGCATCCATCAGTCCTGTTAACACGGATCCAACATCATCCAACCCCCCCATCCTGGAGGGGAGAGCATCGCCATCATGCTGCCCTGACGGGACCCGATCCGTACGCTGATGGGTCCAAGTTAGAGGAGCTGCTGATCTCTGACCTCTAACTGCTGCAGAGAAGAACCATCGGGTCCAGGACCAGACAACAGAACCAATGTGGTCCTACTGGACCCCCCTTAGGAAGGGACAGGATGGCACAGATTCTGCTGGGAGGGGATCCCATCAGAACCAGGTCCAGGCTTCCTCTGCATCATCCTCAGACTTCCAGCCAGTCCCTGCGTTACGCAGCGGTATGACCGGACGCGAGTTCAGAAGCAAAGAGGCGTCTGCTGCTTCATTTTTTTCGATCGTTGTGCTCAATAAAGTCAGACGCGCCTCAAGAGGACAGACAGCGAGAGCCAAAACTGGTGTCTGACATGCCAAAAATGGCATCTGCAAGTATGCCGGTTTCCAACTGGCATATGCCAGTTGGAAACCGGCATATGCCAGTCTGGAGGAGAGCCGCAGGACATTTAGATGTGCATTGAAGCGTCAACCATAGAGTTTCTCCGTTAACCAGCTGCTTCTTCTGCTCCAATAGTGTTTGATGTGAACGTCGTTACTATGAAACCGTCCAGAACCCGAGCCGTCTATCCAGGTCCATTTTCACTGCAGCTCTATCTCAGCAGGGCAGCATGATTCCCCCTCCCTCCTGAGAAGTCTGTAGATGTGTGTGGGGGGGCTGGGGTTAGTTTTGGGGGTTGGGGTGAGAACAGGCCCAGTTAGTGGGATCTCCTTCGGGTTAGTATCTGCCAGGTCCATACTCACCGCTCTGCAGAGTGCGGCGCCCTCCAGACAGAACGCCCAGGGGCAGCGTCCCTGTGGGGGTGAGCCCCTTCAGCTGAAGCACGCTCTCATTCTCCTCCCTGGGAAAAAAAACACCACGGTCTGAGTAATATATTTTTATTTTAGAAGTTTGACCTGATACCAACAGAGGGGTATCAGGTTGTGATGGCATTTTACTGAAAAGATTTTTATCCAAAACCGAATTAATGTGCAAAAATAAGGAATAGGTGTATTAACCATATATGTAAACAATGTTATATTGGGCCCCCAGCAACTAGGGGCCCTGGGCCACTGCCTAGTATTGCCCAATGGTAAATCCCCCCATCTGTGTGACATCAGGGGCTGAGCAGGATTCCCAGGGGGAAGACCTGATTTTCGGTAAAAGTTGACTAGAGATGGGAACCATATACCCCATTTCCACTACCCTAAAAAACCGTGCTGAGACCGGTCCGAGCTCAGTAACTGAGATAACTTATGGTGTGTAAATGGAAAGCAAACTGAACTGAACCGAGCTAACTGCAGACCAGTTCCAGAGGTGGGCTCGGCTCGGTTTTCCCTGGCTCAGTTCTCTGATAACAAGAACACATGAGCAGAACGCGTCATCTCCGTCTGGCTGCACATCGCGATTCACACTCCATTCCAGTAGTCTGCGGTAATGCCCCTCCGGAAATTGTTTGCCAACCAACACAAAACAGAAGAAGAACAACTAAGTTAAGCCGACTTTCTTAAGTAAATCCACGAAAGGTTATCGTCTTCGCCTGACCCTCCGCAAACACCAAAGTACAGCAATAATAATCAAGCATAACTTTCTGAATGTGACGGGCGCCGCCATTTTGGTTTGCTTGATTCCCTCCTTCTTCGTCTTCTTCTTCTTGTGTTTTATGGCAGTTGGCAAACAACTTTTGGTGCATTACCGCCACCAACTGCTTGATTTCCTCCTTCAATACTGGCAGTAATACCGCAGATCGTCACTAGGAGGCGAGGAACCGAGATAGCGTGATGTGTAAATGGTTGCTTAGAGCAGTGCCAAACGTTCCACTGTCATCAGGGAAGGTTCAGACTGCTGCTATTCTTCAGAAGCACACATGCTTTTACCGGTTGTTCTGTGCAATTTGTTCCCATACTTTTAGAGACAATAAGTGAAGCATCTGACGGCTCATAATTTTGCTTGCTCGTCCCTCCCCCTCCCTCAGCACAAACGCAGAGACAGACGTAACTCCATTTCCCTTGTGAGCAAAGCTTCCAGTTGATCTGCCCTGCATTAGAAAGCGAGATGGAATTCAGGTGGCAGGAGAGAGGCGGCCTAGGGGATAGGGCAAAGAGCTTGGAATCCTGAGGTTGTGAGTTCGAAGCCCACTCCCACTCACTGCCACTCTGGCTCTCTGAGCAAGACTCTTAACTGCTGATTGCTCCCCAGGCGCCACTGCTCCCGAAGGGAATGGGTTAAATGCAGAGGTACATTTCTCCAATGTGAGATCAATAAAGTTCAATTATTATTATTTTAACCTAATGAATCCAGCCTCTGATTCAGGTCATCCACCGTCTGCCATCTATTGTAATTAAGCTGATAATATAACTAAACCCATACCAAAAAAGTAAAGAAACTGGACTTTGTTTCCAAGTTTGAAGACATTTCTCTCCCCATCCATGACATTTTTTCAATTCAAAATGTCAGAAATAGCGTTCAGTTCCAGGTTTTATCCAGCAGACCAACAAAGCCTTGTTATTGTTTAGAAAACATGCAAATAGAAACAGACGAACTGATCCACCCCTTTGGAGTGGGGGTCGTTTGGCTTCTTTGTTAGCCTGCAATGCCCCATACCTGTCTATGTCTCTGAAAGGGGGTCATTAAAGGGAATTGCTGGCCTGACTGAATAGGAGAGGTCTTCCTTAGATGAAAGCGGGATTCCGCTATCATCGCAACCCCCAACCGAAAGCTTCCTGGATGGGAAGAGAAACATCTTCAAAATGGAAACAAAGTCCAGTGGATTGTTGTTTTTTTACTTTTTTGGAACGACTACGACCTGAATAACTGAAAATCTTCACCAGCATCGAACAAAACTGATAATTCTAGTTTAGGTTCAGCTGATATATTATATCTGATATTCTTCTCTTCAACAAGCTGGATCAACTTTGGGAAACGTCAGGGCAGTTTTTAAAGTCTAGGATTTTATATTGTTTTTTAATTGTTTTTGTTACAAACGTTTAAAAAAAAAACTACTGAGTGCTCTTTTGTCTTTTTACCATTTTGCTTGACTAAAATAAAGTGCTATGGATATCAGAAAAATACTGGATCCATAAGTAATGATATGATAAATGCTTAAAGATTCGTATTCATCCAGCAGGAAAACCAGCCTGAACATCCAGCCTGGTGCAGGCAGCAATATGGCCACCAGGTGGCAATAGAGGGCAACCTGACAGTGTTCTTACAGCATAAGGAAAGTTAAATTCTAGACTTTTTAAGTCTTTTTAATACCACTAAAAATAGTGATTCGCGGGAACCCTGCAACAGTGCCTCAGCCTCTCTGCTTCTGATGGGCAGAGAACCAATAACCGTATTCTCCCTGCCTAGCAGATCAGGGACAGACCCAGAAATAAAAATGGGAACATGGACCCTCTAAGACCACAGACAGCCTTCAGCGGGGTAGTGGAGCTTCTACAGTCTTTACTCTGATGAACTGGTTTGGACTCTGAACATGAGATCCTGATCCGACACGTCGCTTCTTCTCGGATGATAAGAACGGAAGGGTTATGAGAGAGGGAGAGACATACGGTAAAGGACCGCAGGCTCGATTCAGCGCGGGTCGCCCGGATCCAGGACTAAGGCCTCCATGCATGGGTTGTGCGTGATAAGCCAATTCATTACTGAGGCTCATTTGGGTCACGATAGATGAACACCAGAACCAGAATGACACACTTCAGTGAGATGGAAAGGAGAACGTGTTTAGATCGAAGGAAAGTCATTATCTAAAGTAGAGCAGAGGCTGCAACTTAAACTAGTTTTTCTTTTTCTGTCCGATAATCTCATTTGTTGGACTTCTATCGAAGCTGTCTTTATTTAACGAGGCGTTGATCCAAAGCGCTGAACACCGCAGGGCGAGGAACTCACCTGAGCACAGAGAAGACGCGCGCCATCTTCCCAATGGCCCGGATCTTGTTTCTGATCACCTCCTTTCTGGCAGCAGGAGCTCCACCTGAACAAAGTGAGAGAAACCGTATGACTGCAGCTTTCCCACTGGACCAAAAACACACATTTACCAACCAGTTAACAGACTCCGCTGACCATCAGGAGTTGTTCCACCATTTAATCTGCATACCATCACTAACTCTATCCTGTCTTCCTGCTCCTTCAGATCAAATACACAAAGTCATTTATTATCACTTCTATGAATGTTGCTTTAAAAAAAGCTAATATTTGAAACTTTGAATGCAGTAAAATAACATTTGTACATAAAATGAGAATATTTCTGATTATCCAGTCGTGTGAGAATTTTGTCAATCGGGATCAGCCTTTCGCGACCACATTCCGATCAGAGTTCTTCTTCTTCCAGGTTGACGAGTCCGACCAGCGGCATCTCTTGAAGCCGAGTCCGACAACGTTTTTAGACGTACAGTGTGAGCCGGTGGGTCGAATCAGAGTCGGGATGTGTAATCTCAGCAGCTAAAGGGGTTTATAGAAATGGCTTCTTCAGAAAACCTTGGAAGTAGTTCCATTAAAGAACGGAAAAAAACAAGTAGTTTTGGGTCAAAGGGATAAACTGACAGCTTCTGTTATCTCACAGAAAAGCACCAAGCCTCAGGTTCAGCTACCGTCGGCTCACCACCAGCTTTGATGGACTGTGAGTCTAGCGCCTTTGTTGCCCAGTGTTCCTCGGAGCCCTCTGGGTTCAGAGATACTGTTTGCTCGCAGGTAACCATCTAATCAGACCCATCAGATACCCTTCGTTGGGTTCAGAGTGCCGATGTAGGTACCAGATCTGCTCGGGCCCTGCGCATGCCAGTGACGTTACCCTAGACGAGTGGATAAATGTTCCCACATGACGTAAAACATTGCAGTTGCCCAGACAATGAACAAATGCAGTGTTAGCGTGTCTAATAACTGATGAAGTTTTACCTGATAGATGACAAAACTGAACAGATCTGTTTATTGTGAACAAATTAACTGCAGGACCATGATATAAGGGGGCGGGGCTGGGTAGCGCTGTGGTAGCTAACAGGTTAGCCTGTTTCAGCTCGGTCAGTTAACTTAGTGGCCATCTGCCGCTAAGTTATGTAGCTTATGAGCCTGGTTCTGCTGGAGGTTTCTTCCTGTTAAAAGGGAGTTTTTCCTCTCCACTGTCGCTACAAGCATGCTTAGTGTGAGGGATTGTATTTGAGTCAATGAGTCGATGCAATCAGCTGGTTTTCCTTAGATAGAAAACTTTGAATCAATTTAACTGGATTATCTGGTTGAATTGTCTCTGTGAAGGGCCTTAAGATGACATGTTTTGAATTGGCACTATAAAATTAAACTGATTTGAATTAACTTAACTTTGCATGAAGTTTCTAAAAGTATAACTGTTGTTTTCTTGGTCTTAAATCTCTATGAAAGTCATTTTTTAAGATGTCCCATTTGTCGTCCGCTGCCCTCAGATTTTAATAAAAAAGAATAAAATAAGCTGAGACTATGTCTCCTAGATAAATAGCAGAGTTCAGTCTTAGAAGGCAGGACTTTCCTTCAAGATTAACAATGATTGTTTTCTACTTTTGGCTACTTTAGATCGCTAATGAAATGTAAAATAATAGCAAATATGGGGAATATGTTGAGACTCCTGAAGAGATTTGATTCTTAAGAAACGGGTGCAATACAGTTTGTCTGAGTGGAGTTGCCATAGGGCCTCGAGCAGATCTGGTACCTACAGCAGATCCTCTGGGGTGAAGCCTGACATCCTTGAAGGTTTCACTTCCTAATTCGGCCAAGAAGAATTTGACTAATCAAATTCAGGGGTTAACGCCTACTCTGTGTCGCCATGTCAACCTGCCAGCCGCCCTATTAGGCTGAGCTCAGACCAGAGTCGGCGCTGCAGCATTTCTGAGAGACACTACGCATCAGGAGGCTGTGAAGACGCTCCGCCATGTTCATCTGCTCCGTTAGAGGGGAGGAACGTTCTACATCCTCCCTCTTAGTGCATGATGCTGTGATGGAGCGGGACGCCTCAATGCCATGCTGACAGAGACAATCTTTCTTTGCTGTGCTTATATTCCACTCAGGAAGTGGAATATAAGCACACCACACATTTTTAAAGTCAAAGATAAAGTGTTCAGACTAGCAAAGTCCAGACTAAACCGGTTTCTGCTCAGACATCAAAGCGTGGCTGAATTTACACCGTTACTCGGTGGGGACCAGAACTGTGGCTCCAGCCGGACATATGAAATAGTCTTACCCTCACACGTGTCGTCCCCTTCGGACATCAGCTCGTCGTCAGAGCAGATATTCAGAACGTTCACCAGCATCTCCGTCACTGTGAAAACAAACAGCCAGCAGGTGGCGCTGTGCAGGGTTAAAACAACAACACAAGCAGGTCAGAGACTATCGTTAGCCCCTCCGCAGCAGCAGCCGGGGCTAACGTTAGCCCGTCCGCAGCAGCAGCCGGGGCTAACGTTAGCCCGTCCGCAGCAGCAGCCGGGGCTAACGTTAGCCCCTCCGCAGCAGCAGCCGGGGCTAACGTTAGCCCGTCCGCAGCAGCAGCCGGGGCTAACGTTAGCCCGTCCGCAGCAGCAGCCACGGCTAACGTTAGCCCGTCCGCAGCAGCAGCCGGGGCTAACGTTAGCCCCTCCGCAGCAGCAGCCGGGGCTAACGTTAGCCCCTCCGCAGCAGCAGCCGGGGCTAACGTTAGCCCCTCCGCAGCAGCAGCCGGGGCTAACGTTAGCCCCTCCGCAGCAGCAGCCGGGGCTAACGTTAGCCCGTCCGCAGCAGCAGCCGGGGCTAACGTTAGCCCGTCCGCAGCAGCAGCCGGGGCTAACGTTAGCCCGTCCGCAGCAGCAGCCGGGGCTAACGTTAGCCCGTCCGCAGCATGGATAAGTGGAAGATGATGGATGGATTCATGAGATGTGACAGAATGTGTTGGTAGGAACAGCAGCTCTAGGTTCAGTAAATCTACGTCTGCATATGTGTGAGTGAAGGCGGCCGCAGACCTTTCTCCCCGACGAAGGGCAGGGACCAGGTGAAGACGTCCATGAAGTTTGGCAGCCAGTAGGGGTGAGGAGAGCAGTTGAACTGACGGATGTTCATCACATTGTTCTCATATTTCAGCACCGCAGCTGAGGACACAAACATGTCAACATCTCCCAGGTCTCTAGCCCATCTCCATGGTTTCCCTGATGCACCCTCCTACCTTTGTTATTGTACACATCTAGGTAGTTGGGAGCAGAGAAGATGGTGATCAGAGATGGGAAGCCTGTCGTCTGACTCTTCCTGTACATTCGGTAGCTGTTGGACAAAGACGATAGAGACGTTTCAGGGACACGTCTGGTTTTCTTCCACATGGAGGATCTACAGGATCCCACCAAAAGCTGCAGGCGGCCATACTCACCCTGCATCCTGGGCTTCATGAGCGCGTATTACAGACAGCAGGTTGTTGTTCATCAGGAAGTCGCAGACGGCCGGGTAGCTGCAGAAAGAAACCCACACAGGTCAGAACTGGGCCCTCCTGCTTCCCGTCACCAGACACCAAACCAAACTCAGGGGTCAGATAAGGTCGGGGCTCTTTGGAAGGGCCCCTGGACTCCATCACTTTGGCCTCTGATGGCTGCAGATCCTGATTCTTTACCTAATTTCTGAGGGTCCCAGAACCACTCCTGATGAGAGGCTGTCAGTCCCGTACCGGACCAGATGAGACCCTGACAGAAGATATAACAGAAAGCCAGACCAAAGGGCTGGTTGTCCTCCCGCAGCAGTATGTCACAGTTGGCTGGTCACAGGTATGACGTAAATATTTATTTTTTTATGCCCAATATTAAAGCGCGGTCTGCTCTATGTTATTCCACGCCACAACGCCAGAGGGACAATCACGAACTAGCTAAGATTGTGGGTGTCTGTGTGTCGGTTTGACAAGCTTGTTCGCAGTCTTCCCCCCCTCATCCAACGCCAGACAACACACAGTTTATCCATGAGAGTTCCCAAAAGACTAGCCATGGCACTCTGTGCTTTCGCTTTGGGTGCAAACCAACAGACCGTCGCACAGAGCTACAAACTAGCGTCCTGCACGGTGTCTGGGATAGTGTCAGGTATGCCAGGCGTTGTGGAAGGCACTACAGCCACAGAGTTTCGCCATCTGTGTCTGCGGTCACCTACAATTTAGGGGGGGGGCGGCGTATATCTGCTTTAACTGTGACACACTAATGTCTTCCAGATGATTGGAGGAACACAGGCAGTGGCAGCTGGCCAATAGAGGGTGCTAGGGCGACGCCCCACTCACCCAGTGACCTTGATTAGGACATAAAAAACAAAAATAAATTGGAATATTTTGAAATACATTAGTATATTTTTTTAGATATGCAAGATACATTTTTAATCTTTAATGTCAGGTAAAGCTGTTTCGTTCATCGTCGCATTGGTGACTTATTTCCACGCTGGAGGGCAAAAATCTTTTGCCCATTTACGACTCGGGTTAAAAGTTGTCCATATGCAGTAGCTCTTCTTCTGCTTCCAGAGCTGAAAGCAACTTTATTTGCACACCACCTCCCACCACAGTGCCGATGTCACAGTCGTCTTTTAGAGATAGCAACTGACTATTGAATTATTTAGCAACAAGGCTTGGCTAACTGAATGCATCAAGGCTAAGGCTTTATTCTGCTTTTTCAAACGTCTATATATATCCATCTATCTATATAATTTTGTGGCGTTGAAGAAGACGTGGCCTTTGAAGACGTTTTTTGTTTCTGAAGCCCTTCTCTTGCAGATGCCGTCTGATGGTTATTGGGCTGCAGTCAGCACCAGTAATGGCCTTAATTTGGGTAGAGGATCGTCCAGTGTCTTGACGGACAGCCAATCGGACCCTGCGGCTCAGAGCTGGTGAAGTTTTTTTGGGTCTACCACTTGACTTTTTTGTTCCATAACCCTCAGGATCATTTAAAAAAATGCAAAATGACTGTCTCACTGCGTCCAACCTCAGCAGCGATCGCACGTTGTGAGAGGCCTTGCTTATGCAGGTCAACAATCCTACCACGTTCAAAGTCAGTGAGCTTTTTTGCTTTTGCCATCAGGAGGTCTTGACAGTGTAAAGACTTGACAGAAAATGACATGGAATCCAGATTTTTGCACAGCTTTTGGCTTTTAAAGACTATGGTCTTAAACTTTTGATCAGTTGAAAAAATAATGTTTGAGTGTAAATGCAGTAATCAGAAAAATCCACGGTCAAAAGTTCTTGTCTCTTGTACTGATTTTTACCTTTAATCTCTACTTTGAACCTTCTTTAGATCCAAGAGTGCAAAATTCAAATCTTGCAATATTTTTTGATTGGTTTTTGGTATACTCGATTTTGAAGTTATAGCCCCCCCCCCAGGAAAAAAACCTCCACCATCCACCACTCCTCTACAGAACCAGGCCTGTTCTATCAAGCTGGGAACTACATGTCTGAACATGGGGTCTGGGTGGTTGGAACTGTTGGGATAAGAAGGCCGGGATCACACAGACCTGTTTATCAGGACCTCCCTTCTGCTGCTGTTTACAGGCCCTCCTCCCATCCTTTGGTCTTCAGAGCCAACAGAAGCATCACCCCCCCAGCTGAGGATAAGAGGGGCGGCAGCAGCTCTGTCTCATGCCTGACCCAGGCTGGGGGTTAACACGGCAGATTCAGCATAAATACCCAGAGAGCAGAATGCTAATATTTATTCACCGTATTTGTGTGAGAGCGGATTTAAGCCGCCATCATTTATCTGGAGATAAGCCCTTGTTTGGGAAAGCTTTAATCAGCTCAGATTAATGCTGCGGCAGAGAGGGCCATACCTGTAGAAATAAGAGCAGCCCCGCACACTGTTGTGACAGAAATGCTCCTGGGTCTTCTCTGAGCCGTAGTCCTCCCCCGGGTCCGACCAGAGCAGGTCGCACATGGGCCCAAACGCTGGCGGTTCCTTAAAGCGGTCAAGCTGCACAGATTATTAAAAAAGTTATTTACAGAAGCAATCAACAACTGAGGGCATCTGCATCTCTGCTGAAAATACAACACTTTATATCAGGAAGGCTGCTGTTTCAATGTTTCTCAGTTAAGGACAAACTATACGCTGTTTGATAAAGCTTATAGTTAGAGTGGCTCAGGTTATCCTGAGCTATCTCTATGGTTTTGCTGCTATAAGCTTAGACTGCTGGAGGACATAGGGACCCCTTTTCATCATTCTGCTACATTTCACCTCTTTTCTCCCATCCCGCAGTATGTGTTAGATCAATCCCTGATGTTCTGCTCTCCTGATTTTTCTCATCATAGTACCTTGTAGTGATGCACGATATTGGGATTTTGGCCGATATGCCGATATTTTAAAACTCATGTAGCCGATAACCGATATCGATACCGATGCTAAAGCTGGACAAAAAAGAGTAGTCATTGAAAATAGCAGTTTTGTTCTCCATTTCTGACACTTTGAAAAATAATATACTTAAATATATTTTCATATGCTGATATCAAATAGATTTTTAAAAACGCGGTATCGATCCATTTTACTTTCAAAATCTCGTGAAATTTCATCGTTCTGTTACAAACTCTCGTGATATTTTGCAAATTCTTGTGAGATTTTGTTAGTAAAATAGATCGATACAGCGTCAATATATCAACATATAAAAATATTGCAAAATTTTGTGAATTTTCGGGGGATTTCGTAGCATAACGATGACATATAGCAATATTTCATTAGTAAAAGAGATTGATATGGTGTTTTTAAATGGCAATATATCAGCATATGAAGATATTATGATATTTTAATGTATCAATATTTTTTCCCTCATCTTTAGAAGCTTTTAAGTCTGTAAAAAAGAAGTTTTCGAGGAAGAAGAAGAAGTAGTTATTATTATTATTATTATTTATTTTTTTTTACTTTAGAAACTCAGAAGCTGATCAAATATTGGGTTAAATATCGGTGGGGTGGCCGATGTCCGATATTCAGTTTTAAGGCCGATACCGATAGGGGGTCGATTATATCGTACATCCCTAGTACCTTGAATTGAATTTAACTCCCTGAAAACCCAAACTGTTAAGAAACGTTTCCTCCTTTTATAACATTCTTTCATGGATCTTCTTTTAGCCAAAGGCATCCCTTTCTGAACCAAACCTGTTCGGGATGGTGGTGTAGAACAGCACCTTCACAGTTAACCATTTACTAAAAAGCCAGAAACTTTAACTTTAGACCACAAAAAAAGTAATACACTGCAAAAATTTAAATCTGAAACGTTTACTGGAATGGAGGGACAAGCAAATTTGCATTTAAAATAATTTTATTATCTTATTTTAAGAGTTAAAAAACGAATTTACTGACAAATCAACTTATTTATCTACTCAAATTAAGGGTAAATGCACTTCATTTAAGACATTTTCACACATTTCCACAGCTAAGTAGAATTAACACCTTTCAGACCTCCAGGACAATTGATCCGTCACACGGTCTCACCTTGCGTATGTCATCCAGGCAGGTGACTTCAGGGCTCAAACCTCCGTGTACACAGAGGAACTGCTGATTCAGGAGCGCCGCCAGGGGCAGACAGTCAAACGCCTCCATACAGGCATCATACACTTCCTCAGAGTACTTTATCTTACCTGAAGGACACAGAAACACACCCGCTGAGCACTAAACACTCTCAGACGCGTCACTCGGTGAAAGTGGGACACTTACACTCCTGCTTAAATGTGAAATACTCTGTGAGATGTCTGCACTCGTGGTTCCCTCTGAGGAGAAACAGCGTGTCGGGGTGGTTGATCTTCAAAGCCCACAAGTACAGCACACACTGCAGACACACACAGGAAGAGAGCGTCAGTCCTTTGCTCTAGCTTGGCCACACTGTGGCACCAACTTTCTTACACCTCATCCAAAATACCCAGGTTACCCTGAGCTACTTTCTGCATTTATGCTTCTATAGGCCTAGACTGCTGGAGGACATAGGGTTTCCTTTTCATCTAAAATGAATTGACAACCGCAGAGCTGCTGAATGAAACTCTACAATCCATCCATTTAGCTGGCATCAATAATGCCTGATATGGTAGACAGAGCGCTGAGTCTAAACACCAAGGCAGACCAAGAGAGCGGAAGCAGAGAAAGAGGTCTAAAAGAAAAAAAAAATCAGTGACGGACGGATGAAACCAAAGTTAAAGGCTCCTACAGAGGAACCTGCGTCAAACAAGGTTTGGAAGTTTCTTCCAGATGCAATTTTTTCCCAGGATTTTGCCATGTTTTTCTCTCCCGGCGAATATTGGAAGGTCAAATTTACTGGAAAATTTTGTTTCTTTCGGTGAATATTTTGCCTCAAGTAGGATCAAATCCAGTAATGACCTCGAGGTGCGGTTCAGTTAACCTGACTCCGCCAGATGGATTTGCTCCGCATATCCATCTGGAAACCTTCCGTTGAAGTAATTTTGGGAAGGGGCGAAAATACTGGTTAGCTGATTGGCCTATGTTGGTGATAGACGGGCCAAATAAACCAATCAGATCAACGAAACATATGACGTACTAACAGAGCGACGACGAAGAGGAGCCAATTGATAGATCAAACTCTTGCCGAAACCAGTCGGGAGAAGAGCAAAAACATCTTTTCCTCTGAGAAAAGCCTCCAGAGCAGTGTTTTGCTCTCCTTTCAGTGAAGAAATACTCTGTAATTCCGATAAAACTTGCTCGATAGCCACGCTAACGCTAGTTTCATTGGCTGAAGCCGCCATGTTCTTTAGACTGAACTGTCACGCTTCTCGTTGCGTCACACCTCAACCCGCCTCAAAGCCAACGCTGATTGGACGTTCGTTTGGTGAACGGCTCCAAATTTTCTTCAACGGAGAGTCTCCAGACTGATCTGCGAGTGAAACCTTGAAAGCTCGCGAGATCAGGATGGTCTCACGAAGCTAGGGTTCAGTATCTATAAACAAGAAATGTTTGGGGCTTGAATGACAGAAGAAATTAAAGAAAAAGGGCGCCAGCTGGTGTAATCTGAGTATTCAAGAAAGCATTTTCCTCCCGTTTAAAAGCTATTAGCAAATGATCCCTTCTGTATTAAATATGTCATTCTCTGCTGGGTTTTCTCTGGTGTTTTTTTTTTTGTGTGTATTCTCACAGATTTGTCCTCATGAAGCCTGGTGGATATAAGATATAGAGCATTCAATGAAAAATCCCAGTTCTCCAAAATTATTATCAGGACTTTCTTCTGTAAGAAATGTAAAAAGTTTCCTCCACTTGTTCAGAAGAAACTCAGCTCCTTTAGACACGTGTGGACAGACGCGTCTGTGCATGTCCAACTCATTTTATATGCTGGTCTCTTCTCAGCAATGACAGAAGTGATGAGTGACTGACATGAAAAACATTTTCTTACATAGAAAGTAATTATGGATCATTGCCGCTACGTTGTTTTTATATTTCTTTTATTTTCCTCCTGAAAGCCCTAGTTGGCCTTGGAGGTTTCTTCCTGTTGAAAGGGAGTTTTACCTTCCAGTGTCGCTGCATGCTAGAGCCTTAGGATGATATGAGATGAATTGAAGTGTTTGGAACATGTTGGATAGCAGCAAAGGGCTGGTTATCCTCCCGCAGCAGTGTGTCGCAGTGAGCTTGTCGCAGATATTTTTGATTTATGTCGAATTTTGAAGCATGGTGTAGGGGCAAAGCCGACGCTTAAAGCCCCTGGAGTGGTTTTAAACCGGAATCTTATGGTTGAAGCGCTTTGCTGGGGTTAGATGGTGTGAACAGGAAATGTCCAGACGCCGTTCTTGCTGTTTAAAGGCTGATTTATTCCCACTCTTGCTGCTTACAAAACAAAAATAATGATAAAACAGCCAGCTGTGAGTTGACAGCGGTTTCCCGCCAAGCAGTCAAACCGATTTGCCCTTTCCGGTGAAACACACATCATTTCCCTTCTTTTATAGAGCTTATACATAATGGCTTCTACACGTGATCTGGGCTAGGTTATTCTAACCTGACTCTGCCAGATGGATTTGCTCCGCATATCCATCTGGAAACCTTCCGTTGAAGTAATTTTGGGAAGGGGCGAAAATACTGGTTAGCTGATTGGCCTATGTTGGTGATAGACGGGCCAAATAAACCAATCAGATCAACGAAGCATATGACGTAACAGGGCGACGACGAAAACACAACCACAAGCCAGGCTTCTCTTGCTGCTGCAGGTAAAGGCTCGTTAGCTCAGCAAATAAGCAACATGTCGGCAAAGGATATTATATTTCAGTGAAGAAATACTCTGTAATTCCGATAAAACTTGCTCGATAGCCACGCTAACGCTAGTTTCATCGGCTGAAGCCGATATGTTCTTTAGACTGAACTGTCGCGCTTCTCGTTGCGTCACACCTCAACCCGCCTCAAAGCCAACGCTGATTGGATGTTCGTTTGGTGAACGGCTCCAAATTTTCTTCAACGGAGAGTCTCCAGACTGATTAGTGAGTGAAACCTTGAAAGCTTGCGAGATCAGGATGGTCTCACGAGGCTAATGTTATTCAACGCAACAGGGACAATCAGGAACTAGCTGTGGGTCTAGATTTGGCCGAGGCGGTGAGGAAAAGGGGCAAGTTTGTGCGACAACGGAGGGACATGAGGGCGAAAAAGAGCGGGTTCATTTGCATTCGCTGTGACACACACGCAGACGACCTGGTTTCTGAGTATAAATCAGCCTTGAGAGACCATGTTCCACTGTGGATCCCCTCTCACACAGTGTGACGTCCACCCACAGCAGATGATGTTGGGACTAATGCAGCCTATGGAGAACTCAACATTATTATCGTCTGGTCAAAGGTCAGCGCTTCTCAGTCATTTACTAAGTGGGCTCAGCTCCACCCTGCAGAGCGGAGAGCTAAATGCTCCAGAGCGTCTTCAAAAACAGACTATGATTGACTGGCTTTGATTTCTACAAGCAGACCAGGAAAACTGCTGTCTGGAAGAAAATGGACAAATTTGACATTGACAGGCCCTCAGGTTGGAATTTAAATCCAGGTTGTGTTAGATCTGCAGCCTGGAGATGAACACCACGCCCACATTATGAGCCTAATCATGGGAACACATGATCACTGCGCAGGCAGAGCGATGGCAGCATGCTCACTCTAAGAAACTGAACTTTCCTCCAGACTTAATCCTCCTTCAGCCGCCTCTCCCTCCCTCTGACTCTCTGGTCAACGTCCCCCTGACCCCCCAATGTCTCATTTAATACTAAATGGAAACCCTCTGTTGGACGGTCCGCAGCAGGCTCCATATCATCGGCTCAGCGACTCCTTATCTTTGTAGTTCTGGTTGTTTTGACGTCTGAAACCTGCCAGGATGAGAGAGGCTGCACAAAGAGTTGCAGCGCCTGCAATGTTAGATCAGATAAGACATGCAATGACCACAGAGACGGGCCAGCAGCAAAGAGGCAGAGAGGAACAGCAGCTCTAGGGTTCTGGTCGGCTTTTTTAAAACCAAAGGAGCGTCCAGTTGCACCTGCTTACTGGGGGATGTAGCTAAAGGAGAAACATGTCGATGCAGGTCCAGCAGGTTCTGTCAGAGGTCATGTCAAAGACTCTGCATCAAACTGACCGTATCAATGCACATAGAAAATGACAATAAAAGTTCTCTTAAGTCATGGTTCTGATCACCTGATCCAATTCAACCGACCCTCTTAAAAACAAACACAAAATACCTTCAGGTCAACTTTCATTCCAGCTGTCTTTAGCATCCTTTATTAGCATTGGCATGGCCGTCAACGCAGGGAGGATCCATCATTCACCTTCAGGCTCACCCTATAATGGGGATGAAGTCTGGAGGAGAACTGATGGTTTCCCCCCCTTTCTACCAAAACGCTGCCAATATGCCATTATACAGTAGCTGGAAGTTAGAAACATGTTCAGAGCTCATCTGGAACACGTCGGATACCTTTTATATGCGTTGGAGAGAAGTTCTGGATAAGTTACGCAGATCTGCTATAGGCTTAGACTTCTGGAGGACATAGGGACCCCTTTTTCATCATTCTGCTTCATTCTATCTCTATTCTCCCACTCTGCAGAATCTGTTAGTTCAATCTCTAACGTTCTGCTCTCTCTGCTTTTTCTCATAGTAGCTTCATCTGGTCTGTTCCTGTTTGGCTGTGACTCCATCCTGGAGAGAAATATCAGCTGTGCTGCTGCAATCAACACCTTTGTTTATAGACGTTGGAGCTTGGCCTGTTTTCCAGTGTAGTCCTGTTTCTCTGACTGTGACTAACTGGATGTGCTCTCTTCATCCTCTGACATGGGAGCTGGCTCGGAGCTCGTCTGCCTGGCTGCGTGTTCCCTGGACGGGGAACTACTGAGCCTGGTTCTGCTGGAGGTTTCTTCCCGTTGAAAGGGAGTTTTTCCTCTCCACTATCGCTACAAGCATGCTTAGTGTGAGGGATTGCTGAAGAGTCAATGAGTCTGGTGAACTGGAAAATGGCTTGGGATGACTTGTGTTGTGAGTTGGCCCTATAGAAACAAACTTAATTGAATTAACTTACGCCCAGATATGGCGTACGCTGGCATGCGTTGGCAAATTTTGGCCAAGTTCAAAGTTTCTTGACGTACTCGTCATATGTAGACGTGTTTCAGCGTACTTCAGTGTGCTCATCACTTGTACAAAACGTACCGCTAACTTACCCAACGTATGCCAGAGTTTTTGCCAAATTTTCCACACATCAGGCATACGCTGGACTAAATCAAGGTGTGACAGGGGCTTTAGCAGCTGTGATCAGCAGGAACATCCTATTGCCTTCACTAATAAGTTCAGTGAAGCTAATCAGAAATCCTTTCTAAACTGGCTTCATTTTCTAACAGAGGACAGAAATTAAACACCTAAATTTATCAAGGTAAAAAGGCAAAGAAGCTTCTCTCTCTAAAGACAGACAGTGAGAAGAAGCACAGGATCTCCATTATTGGCACAAACGTCTCCATGACACAGTTTTCTCCATCTGCAGCTGCCATGTGTGGCATTTAGGAACCAGAAGAGGCTCAGATGTTTAAGCTCCGACTGACCGTTCCTGGTCAGTACCAGACTTAAGGTCATAAAGCAGGAAGTGAAGTGTTCCTACCTCGATGCTGAAGTAGCCTCGGTCCACATAGTCCCCGAGGAACAGGTAGCGGGTGTTGCTGGGTGAGCCACCCACCTCAAACAGCTTCATCAGGTCAAAGAACTGGCCGTGGACGTCCCCGCACACTGGACACAAACAAACCTGCATTCAGGTCATCTAAACACTCAGCAACATGAAGAACCGGAGACGGCTAACATCTCAATGCCATCCGAGAGAACCGCTCCAGGGGCCCAGAGACCATCAGGATGGGCTGCTGTGAAAACCAGAGCAGATTTCTGAGGAAATAAGACTAAAGAGCAGCTAATGGCGTCACTCCGTCCACGAGTGACACCACTGTGATCACACATTGTGATAAAAAGTTAAGAAAAATCTGGTCCTAAGAAATTTATCCAAATGTTTATTTGAACATAAACTATTAATTTCTGGGCCAGCAAATATGCCTCAAATAAATAAAAAAAACAAAACAAAAAAAAAACAGCCTCCCTACATAGATTTTATACGTTGAATTGCTGTTGGTATAAAATGATTGGGACTCTGGTTTGTTTCAGAGTGAGGCGTTACATAGCGGCGTCCTGAAGGCAACAAAGAGAATTAATTTGGGAGAACATGTTCTGATGAAGCTGGGGAAAATTCTGCGTCATCCAGGTCTTTTACCCCATTTACACTTCCCTTGAAAAACCGATCCATACCGAGATCGATCCGAGCTCGGATCAGTTAACCAGGCCGAGCTCGGTTCTGACGACCGTTTACACATCATGCTATCTCAGATCCTCGCCTCCTAGTGACGATCTGCGGTATTACTGCCAGTATTGAAGGAGGAAAGCAAGCAGCTGGTGGCGGTAATGCACCAAAAGTTGTTTGCCGACTGCCATAAAACACAAGAAGATTTCAATTGTCGTTTATAGTTGTTGTTCTTCTTCTGTTTTGTGTTGGTTGGCAAACAACTTCCGGAGGGGCATTACCGCCAACTACTGGAATGGAGTGTAAATCGGGATGTGCAGCCAGACGGAGATGACGCGTTCTGCTCATGCGCTCTCGTTATCAGAGAACCGAGCCAGGGAAAAACCGAACCGAGCCCAACTCTGGAACTGGTCTGCAGCGCGGTCCGGTTGTGTCTAGCTCGGTTCAGTTCAGTTTGCTTTCCATTTACACACGATAAGTTATCTCAGGTACTGAGCTCGGACCGGTCTCTGCACGGTTTTTCAAGGGTAATTTTAAATAAGGTATTAGTCATTCTAAAAATGTTTTTTTTGGCGCAGTGGTTAGCGCGCACGACCAATGTACGGGGTCCTTAGTCCTCGACGCAGCGACCCGGGCTCGAATCCAGCCTGTTGTTCTTTGTTCTTTGCCGCATGTCTCTCCCTCTCTCATACCCTTTTTCCTGTCAGCCTACTGTCGAACAAATGAGCCACTAGTGCCGTAAAAAACTCAAAAACAATCCACTGGACTTTGTTTCTAAGTTTGAAGACATTTAGTAAATCTGCATGCCCCAAATGTGGGGAAGTCTAGAATTATGAGGTTTAGAGCAGTGGTCCCCAACCACCGGGCCGCGGACCGGTACCGGCCCGTCTGTCATTTGGTACCGGTCCGCACAAGTGGAATTTTCTGCAGTTACAGCGACCAAAACAAATCTACGGAGCAGACAGGACATTATGAGCACACTTTGTGTGTCATTGTCTCCGATTACGCATAGATGGGACCGGCTTGTTTCGGAGAAACAAGTTCAGGGCTCCCACTAGAGTCCTGCAACGGGTCGGGTCACCCGCAAAAGAGCATTTTTGCGGGTGAAAAATACATAAATAAAAATAAACGGGTCGGGCGGATATTTTTTTAGTGCGGCCGGGTAGTTGGTGATTTACTTTTTTTTTATGCGTGTCTATTGTTATGGACATCAGAAATGTGATTTTAATTAGGCACTGGGGTCACCCTTGTTGTAGCTTAAAGCCCTGCCGGCAGTGTGGGCTTCCCTCCTAAAAGGCCACAGTCAGTGCATACACGTCTGCTGCAGTGTTAATGGCACTGCTCTGCAGCGCAGCGTACTATAGCCTATTACCGGATGGGTTAACGGCTCGGGTTGCGGGTTAAATATCAACGGGTCGGGTCGGGTTCAGATTTGAATTGAAGATATCCACGGGTGACGGGTCGGGTTCGGTAGTCATCCTAACGGGTTCGGGCGGGTGCGGGTTGGTAAAACTCGACCCGTGCAGGACTCTAGCTCCCACTAATTCAACATAATGGTGAGTTTTATTTTTATGCTGTTCGTATTTGATTTTATGCCAGTCGTATCATTTTATTTGATCGTATTAACCCCCCACACTTTAAAGGCTGGTCCGTGAAAATATTGCCTAACATATAAGTGGTCGGTGGCACAAAAAAGGTTGGGGACCGCTGGTTCAGAGCACAGGTTTTAAACTGCAGTCCTCCACAGGGCCAGTGTTCTGTCAGACAACAATACTCAGTCAATACGCATGCGCAAGACATCAGATTAGCGTTATTCCTTTAAAAAAAAAAAAAAAAAAAAAAAAGGTCAGATCGCCATATGCTTCAAGAAACACCAAAAAGTAAGTAATTGAATAGTTTTTTGTACATGACTAAAGGGATACACATCTGTTGGAGTAGATTAAAGTCTATTTTTCGTACAAAACTAAGGGGATAAACTAACCCCTTGCTCACACTGGCTCCGGTGCGGTTACCGAGCCGACGGAGACCGCAACTCCCGCACACCCCCTCTCACACCGCCCTTTTGACTACGGTGCGGCTCTGCAGCTCCGGCAACAGGTCCGGAGATTTAACTCGCGAGAACAGAAGTTCACTTGAGTTCACGTAACTTCACGCGATAACACGGCCCGAATAAGGATATTTGCGAGAGCTTGTCGCGGAGGGCTCCGGCACACCGCAAGGATAGCTTTCTTGCGGAATTTTCTACAGCGCCGGAGTGTATCAGTAACCGCAGCCGGACAGCTCAGCAGCCGGTGAGAGAGGTTTACGTCTTTTTAATGACTTGGAATCACTGTGGCGCCGCACCCACCGCACCGCAACGGTAAGACCGGAGTCGGTGTGAGCCTGGGGTTAAGGGATAAACGGTTTACTGACTATGGGTATGCTGATGTGACAGAACACCGGCCGCAACATTATCTTTAATAGTTTGGCTATGAGGACTGAACCAATAATTTTTCGACCTTGCGGCTTATATAACAATGCGGCTTATCTATGGACTTTTACAGCTAACGCCGTAACATTTGCTTCAACACACAAGTACGGTAGCCGCACACGCGCGGGATTGCGGAGGTCCTCCGGAAGCAGACTTCTACCGCGAGTGGTACGAGACAGAACGACAGCGAAAAAGACTGACATTGCGAGCGAAAGACAGTTTGTGTTAAACATAAAAAAACCTGCGGATCATAGTCCGGTGCGGCTAATAGTCCGAAATTTACGGTAGGTGCTTTCAGCACAACTTGAAGTTTGGCTTCCGGATGGACGAGTCCGAGTAGTGCCATCTCACTGCGGCGGTGAGTCCCACGTGGTAGAGGCAGGTAGATCGCATCAGAGCGTCGGGCCGCACATTGTGAGAACAAACATCGTGAGCTGTGAACTTAAACCCTGCGGCTTTGTTGTACAGTGTGAGCTGTAGCTGCGTGAAACAATTGAAAAAAATGGAACAGCCTATTCTCGGCTTAAACGGTCCTAAAACTAGAACATGTAGAGTGAGCCCTGAGGGGAAGGAACCTACCTAGGTCGCAGGGTAACACGGGGATCTTGGACTTGTCTTCCTTTATTGTCGGAACCAGTCCAAGATCCGTTTAGCAGAACTGAAAAATTTATAAAAACTAGGTTTCTAATTTTACAATATCAATATCAGGTGGTGTCAATATCTGACACCTCCTCACTCTCAGTGGAGTCAGATCTAACGTCGTGTTCATAAAAGCATAAAGGACAAAGGTCAGACCTTCAGCTGGCTCTATACCTCTGAACGGAGCTAGCTCCGCTGTATTCACAAAGTTTTAGGCCAATAGGAAAGAAGGTTACCTGTGATGGGAGCTTCCACCTCCAGCATGCATTTCTCCTTACGCAGGATGCTGGCGCCCTCGTTAATGATCCGCAGGGCCGCCTCCTCCTCCAGCCGACCCTCCTTCACCAGATGGGCCTTCAGCAGTTCCAGGCTGGGCTTCCCATCTGCATACAGGTCTTTGACCGACAGGCGCGTACCGGGGGGATACGGCACCGCTGCAAACAAGAAGGAAGATGGGGGGTTAGGCTCCAACATCAACCACCCTTTAGATTTGCTGGTGAAGATTCTCAGTCATCCAGGTCGAAGTCATTCCAAACATTTTTCAAACACAAAATGTTCATATTTTGGACCAAAACAGGTGGTTAGAGAGGAAGCCATCTATGTTAAGAAGGAAAAACAAACCTTAAACGGGGGGGGGGGGGGGGACACTCAAGATTCCAGCTTTTATAAAACCTACAATACAGCGATAGAGTTGATTCCTTCCTGCTATCATCGCAACCCCAACCCTTTTACAGGAGAACAGAAGACCTAGCCTATTCAGCCAGACCAACTATTCCCTTTAATGACCCCCCTTTCAGAGACATAGACAGGTATGGGGCATTGCAGGCTAACAAAGAAACCAAACGACCTCCATTCCAAAGGGGTGGACCCGTTCATCCGTTTCTATTTGCTCCAGGACAGCCAGGTGCAATGGCACCAAACAGGAAAAAGAATGTAGAGAGGATCCGGTTTGTCAAACTAAAATATAGTAATGACAGATCTGTAACTACAAACTAGAGCATAATTCATATATATTCCCCAAAACTAAGACCTTTTAATTTAATTATGGGGTGCAAACTATTGGTGGTTCAACATACGAGGAAGCAAATTTCTCATCTCTATAAAAATATTAATTTTCTACTGAGAGGCATAAAATGTATAAAAAGAGCGCATCTCATAACTTCAAAAGAAACTTCTTATCGCAGGCGTGGATGAAAAGATGCTGAGTTTGGAAGTAGAGAACAAACATAATTCATAAAAAAAAAAAAATGTGTATGATCCTAGTGATCCCGTTACATCCTCCGCCAGCCCATCGCAGGGCAACACAGAGACACAAGCGTTCACGCCACACTCACAACTAAGGAGACTTTAAGGCAAGGCAAATTTATTTGTATAGCACAATTCAGTACAAAGACAATGCAAAGTGCTTTACATGATTAAAATATAGGAAAATAAAACAGAATCAAAGCAAGTAGGAAAAAAATAAGAAAATAAATAAATAAAATAAAATTTAAAAAAAAGAAGCCAATTAACCCAACAGTCATGTTTTTGGACTGAGGGAGGAAGCCAGAGTACCTGGAGAGAACCCACTCAAGCTCAGGGAGAAGATGCAAACTCCATGCAGAAGGACCCTGGGCCGGAAATTATAGCCGGAACCTTCTTGCTGCAAGCTAGCAGTGCTACCCACTGTGCCACTGAGCAGCCCTCAGAAATATCAATTACCGTATTTTCACGACTATAAGGCGCACTTAGTCTTTTTTCCCCCTCAAAATGTGCGGTGCGCCCTTTGGTGCGGTGCGCCCTATGTGTGTTGTAACTGCGACTTTTGAGACCACCTCATTGAGGAGATGATGAAAGAGTGGCTGAATGTAAGGAGACCAGGTGTTTTTTTTCCACTCATCACCATTAATCTGTGACTCCATGCGTGCCCATCTCACAGCTGATGTGAAAAACATGGGGAAACAAATTAACCCTGTGCTCGCTGTTCAACCGCTCGACATCGGTGTGAACCGGACCCAGCAGGTGCAGCAGAAGCAGCGAGTTTACATGCAAAGTCAATGGTTGACGCGCGTATAGGTGCAGCAAAAAGCGCGTTTTGAGCAGCAGGCGCAGCGCGTCGGGAGCGTTTAAGCATCTGACGCACCGCCAACGCGCTGCTGCTGCTCGAGATGGAAAAGTTGAAGTTTTGCTGCTGGACGCGCCGCATCAACCAATCAGAGAAGCTGATCTGGGAGCTGACAGCGAGACAGACACAGCACTCTGATGACATATGATATTAAATGAAAAAGGCTGGATGAATGAGGAGATGATGAAAGCGTGGCTGAGGGAGGTGTAGGCTATGTGAGGAGACCAGGTGTTTTTTTTCCACGCGTCACCATCGCTGCGTGCCCATCTCACAGCCGATGTGAAAAAAAAGGTGAATCAATGAACGCTGTGCTCGCCGTTATCCCGGGGGTCTGACAAAGGAGCTTCAACCGCTCAACATCGGTGTGAAGCGGCCATTCAAAGTAAGGCTGCGAGCGGCGTGGGAGCGACGGATGGCCGACAGAGACCACAGTTTCAGGATAAGTGGAAGGCAGCGCCGGGCAAGTTACGCCACCGTTAGCGGATGGATTGTAGATGCTTGGACTAAAGTGTCTGCTGGCTCTTTTGTTCAAGCTTTTGCAAAAGCCGGCATTATTTCTGAGGAGCTGCGCTGCACGGAAAGTTACTGACAGCGAAGAAGGGGAAACTGGCATGTCTGATTTAGCGCAGCTGTTTAATTCAGAAACAGAGAATGATGACTTTGATGGGTTTGATTAATACTTTGTAATAAATACATGAATAAAGTACAATCATACTCAGTTTTGCTTCCGCTCTATTTTTCTACCTGAAAACTTAATTCAACAGCAGCCTCTGGGCGGGTCTCCTCCTCTTCACCGCGGCGGCTGGCAGGTGTTTTTTCATCTAAATAATCTAAATCTTGCAGCTATATTTGCTGTGATCAGTGGGAATAAAGTAGTTTTAATATGTTTTTAAGTGAGAAAGTCCACCTGAAAACTTCATAATTGCAGTCAGTTCATCCAGATTATCTATTTCTGTCGGAGGCGCTCAGACCCCCACATACCAGCGGTGCACCGACAGCAGAAATCCTTTCGTTCACCGCGGCTGCTGGCAGGTGTTTTTCATCTAAATAATTTAAACTGCAGGCACCAGGATGCCGGTAATAAAAGCGAACATATTCTGTCGGCAGGTTTCAGGATTTTAAGTTAATTTAGGAGTGATCACAGCGCTGTGTCATCTGCGATGTGTCTGTCTCACGGCCAGCTCCCAGGTTTGATTAATACTTTGTAATAAATACATGAATAAAGCACAGTCATACTCAGTTTTGCCCCCGCTGTATTTTTAAATACGCAGTAGAGCTATTTAAAGGTAGTAGAGGACATGTACCTGTATATAAAAAACGCGCCCTATAGTCCGGTGCGCCTTATGTGTGTGTTAAATACAGAAATGGGACACATAACTGAGACTGCGCCTTTTAGTACGGTGCGCCTTATGGTCGTGAAAATACGGTAATAAAAAATGTTTATGGATTTCGCAACACAATTTAAATAGTGTTCTGAGTTTCTGTCAACACAGATAAATGAGGAATGAGGAACAATCTATGGAGGGAGATCAGTCTCAATTTTCACAAATACGCACATGTGATGCATACATGCACAGGACGTGCAAAAGGTGGGACGGATACGGAGGGATCTGGGGGTTAGTCATCGGACGTAGAGTACTTTCTTGTGATTGGCTTATACAAGCACGCTTTGTGATTGGTGGAAAACCATCCACTGTTTAAAAAAAAATGCATTTGTCATATCTATGCTTCTTTTTCTGTCTTCTTCTGCCTCCTTGAACCCCGGTCGGCCTCAGCAGATGGCCGCTCACACTGAGCCTGGTTCTGCTGGAGGTTTCTTCCTGTTCAAAGGGAGTTTTTCCTCTCCACTGTCACTACAAGCATGCTTAGTGTGAGGGATTGCTGAAGAGTCAATGAGTCGATCCAATCAGCTGGTTTTCCTTAGATAGAAAACTTTGAATCTATTCGACTGGATGATCTGGTGAACTGGAAAGTGACCTGAGATGACAGAATGTGAATTGGAGCTATAGAAATAAATTGAATTGTGTATGGAGGTAAGTCAGGGCAGTCTCAAAAAAATGTTTAACAACCACTGGTACTTTTCAATTTAATTTGTAATTGTTTATGGACCAGAAATACGTTGGTGAATGCTGTCCTGTGCGTGTATGAATCACATATATGTGTTTGTGAAAATTGAAACCGATCTAGCTCCAAACATTCTGGGATTATTGGCGGGACTAAAAGTTGAATGGAATTTCTTTCTGTTCTGTCATAATAATGAATGATCTAGATCTACCCAGGAACCAAAATCTTAATTTATGCAAATCCTGGTCAACAATGCTTTCCAACCGCATGGGTGCCCTCTCTGCAGGAACATGCAATCCGGCTCAGATCCCATTGGGATTATGACCTGGCATTCTGACCAGTGCAGACTCCTTCAGTGAAGCATGTTTAAAGTTCAGATCTACTTCCCTCAATCTTTTAGGAGTTTTCCTGCAGATCCAATCATGTTCTAAGCTTAAAAGACTGCAGCTTTCCTCATTCTGGGCTGTTAGGAAAACCAAAGACTAGTGAGTCACTTTTTTTTCTCTCTCAGTGCTGTAACAAGTGAGGAGTGACGGCATGCTGAGGCTTGACCTGGTACTCTGGCAGCCCAGCCCAGCCCCTGGGGAAAATACCAAGCAGCCCCGTTCCTGGAAACACTAGAGGAGGCAAAGCTTAGAGATTCAATCGATGCAAAGAAAAACGCCAACATCTGATTCCTTTTTCCATTTTGTTGACCAGGAAGCAGAGAAGAGTGTTTGATGCCATAAAACATGGTTAGCATGGAAGTGATTTGGTTGGATTCTTTCCAATGGATTCTTATGTCTAAGTAGGCAGAAATAAGGCTGCGTTCACACGGCAGCCTCAAGTGACCCAAATCAGATTTTTTTTGGCCAATATGCGACCTCTATCCGATCATTTCATGACAGTCTGAACAACTCAGATCCCATTTTTTCCAATGCGACTCAGGCTGCTTGGCTCTGTGGTCCTGAATCCGATAAGAATCTGATCTCTGCTAACATGGAAAACATATTTTTGCGTCTGAACGGGCAGGTCGCATTAATCCAACCTATACGTCATTAATACCCGACAAAGGTCAGTATTCTGTCTTGCTACGCAGAAGTGGCAAGAAAAACAACAACCATGGTAGACAATGATGTGGAGAGTAGTATCTATACAAAAAAAATTTTGTTTTTAGGGTTGGGAAAGATCGCTACATGCGCTCCGGCTCTACCATCCATGTTTACTTCCGTAAACACAGAGGATGCAGGCTTGTGACATCATTGCGTCCTCTACTGCGAATGCGGG